TCACATCAATGACACCCTTCAAGGATTTGGTAAGGGCTACTTCACCCCTTCGCTCGGCACCTACATTCCAGTGGCAACTGAACATCGATTTTACCTTGCCTTGCTTCACACTGCCTTTTAAGGCTTTTGAGCAGCCGAGTGCCAGGCACACCCTGACCCAGGCCCTGCCCCTTTTGGGATTTTGATGTTCAGCAAACGATTTCTGTTCATCGTCTCTAACCTAATTGACGATGCTGACAGAAATCCTCATCCCACTAGGCTATTTCATAGCAGGTGGCTTAGCAGGCATGATCTCGCGGACAGTAACAGCACCGCTAGACCGACTCAAAGTCTATCTGATCGCTCAAACGAATCCCAAACCGGCGGCGGTAGAAGCGGCCAAAAAAGGGGCACCTCTTGAGGTGGTCAAGAACTTTGCCCGGCCGTTGGTCGACGCGTGCAAGGATCTGTGGCGGGCTGGCGGAATGCGAAGTCTGTTTGCTGGGAACGGTCTCAATGTCGTCAAGGTCATGCCGGAGTCTGCCATCAAGTTTGGTGCATACGAGGCCGCGAAGAAGATGTTTGCCGAGTTTGAGGGTTCAGATCCAAAGCACCTCTACCCGACTTCGCAGTTCCTAGCTGGTGGTATTGGTGGTGCAGTCGCCCAATGCGTTGTTTATCCTCTCGATACTCTGAAATTGTAAGTAACGACTTGGATTTGCCGCCGTGTACTAATTGGCGATAGCCGCATGCAATGCGAGACGGTCGAAGGTGGCTTGCACGGAAACGCGTTGATCGCCCAAACCGCACGAAAGATGTGGAGACAGGGCAGACTCATGCCCTATTATCGGGGATTAGGGATGGGTCTCGCTGGCATGTTCCCCTACAGCGCTATCGACCTATTCATCTTTGAAAATTGCAAACATTTTGTCCTAGCACGGAAAGCCAAGAAATATCGCTGCCACGAGGAGGATGTGGAAATGAGCAACCTTCTCACAGGCGTCATTGGAGCAACATCAGGAGCGATCAGCGCGACCGCTGTGTACCCGATCAATCTATTAAGAACGAGGTTACAGGCTCAAGGCACAGTGCTGCACCCTCCTACCTACAAAGGCATTGTCGATGTCACGATCAGAACGGTTCAAGGAGAAGGAGTGAAAGGATTGTTCAAAGGCGTGACACCGAATTTGTTGAAGGTTGCGCCAGCAGTCAGCATTAGCTATATTGTCTACGAAAACAGTAAGAAGTTGATGGGCCTCCATTGATCCGGGACATACCTTGTCTCCCCTAGATAGACATTCAAGCAACGAATATTATGAAAGAATGTTCAAACAAGACTAAATAATAAAGAGGCTCTGTCCTTCCACCCTTACAACATTCGACAGATGTATGTGTATCGAATCTGAATTGCATCTAGTCATTTAGTGATTCACCGTTCACGTGATACGGCGGATCAATTTTGGCCCGAGGCTGCGACTGGATCCTACACAATCCCTATTGTGCAACGTCCTGCAGATAGTGATGTGATGCGATTCTTGATGAATGACTGGAAAAGAGATGCTTCTTGAGTTCCTACCTGTGACTGCCCCTTGGTATGCTGATAACCCCTAGTCAAAGGACCGGTCCCAAACACATACTCCATGACATCGCGCAAGACGACACCATTGTCCAATTCCTCTTCCATCATTGTCCATGACCTCTTCGCCGAGTGATGGAGATCCTCTTCAGACGCCTGACATTCTGTCCTCTCCCACGATCCCGATACTCGAGGTTAGCAAGACAAGACCGCCCGCGAGAAACGAATCACCCGAGACATCCACTAACAGTCTCCCTGTCCGCACATCGAGCCCTCCCGCCCTAGGTTCCCGCACCAGCACCTTTTCTAGCGTTCTATCTCGCTCTAGCTCCCCCAATGGGAGGTTGTCGCTGTCACTATCGAAGTTTGGCAGATCACGAGCGAACAGCCCCCTCGGAAACCCCTCAGAAACATATGATGACACACGGTCTCTAATTGTCCGGGCGTTTTCTCCCACTGTTGCAATCTACGCATCGCCCGAGGTGGACGAACTCGCCGCTCGCAAAGGACTGAGAAATGGCTTCGTCGAGCTGGTGCGCCCGTTCGGCGACAAGATCAACGGCAAGGTGGTGGTGCGAGACAGCACAGGAGCCAGCCGGGCATGGGAGGATTTTGGTGTGCACTTTGCAGACCTTGGCCAACTAGTTCAAGATGGCACGTCCGCGCAGTCTGCGTCGAACTCCACAGACAAGTTAGAAGAATTGATGGAACATTTTGTGGGCGATGGCTTTGACCAGACCGAAGATAGCCTGGGACGAGGCGAGACCTCTCCCTTTTACCGGCTGTTTCTGGCACGACTTCTGGCGTCTCAAACTATGAGCTCGCATGAATCCTTCCGCCATCCAGTTGGTGCGGTAATTGCTATCAGTTCTGCCACCAAACAACCCATCGAGACCCTGCGCAATCTCTATCAGCAAACCGCGTCGGGTTCGCGAGCCTTACCTGTTTATGCCAATCCGGAATATCTAAGATATTATGTGCTTGTTCACGACGAGGACCGAGATGATTTCAGCAAGTCGTCTGCGCTGTTTGATCAGATGAAGCGCCATTTCGGCCTCCACTGCCACCTTCTCAGGCTGAGATCCGCGCCATGCACCCAGACCGACGACGACACGGAAGAACTTCCTGCCAGCGAGTGGCTATCTCCTACTGAACAACTCTCCGTCTTACACGACACGGCCGATCTGATCGATCTCGATACCTCAACATCTCCCTATATCTTTTCGTCAGATGCGACGGCGTTGCGCGCATTTGTCCGTGAGCTCATTGCACAATCAATAATCTACCATATGGAGCAAAGGATTGCTCTGTGGAACGATCAAATTGCCTCGCGTCGCCGCGGTATTTCCGGGCGGTTCATGTCACTCTCTAAGAGATGGACCGCAATTGGAAGTTCTTCTCGAAGCTCGTCATCAACCACCAATGTAGGGTCAAGCGGCAATTACGACAGTCTGCAAGGGATATATCGCTATGATGCTCCTGAAAGTCTCTTGCGGAAGCTTGCTGACTACGCATTCATGTTGAGAGATTACAAACTGGCGGGATCAACCTATGAGCTGCTTCGAGGAGACTACTCCAACGATAAAGCGTGGGAACACTTGGCCGGAGCGAACGAAATGTGCTGCGTCGCTACTCTCTTGAACCCGCTCACGAGCAGCGGCAGTTCCAAGTTCAAAATCGAAACCTTCGACAACATGCTCGAGACTGCAAGCTATTCATATTTGACCCGGTGCACTGAGCCAGCACTTGCGTTGCGCTCTATCTTGCTGGGCGTCGAGCTGTTGAAAGTCCGAGGTCGAGCAGCTGGCGAGCTCGCGGCGAAGTGGGCAATCCGCAGCCTCGAACTGGGCCTGGTTGGTAGTATCGGACATGTCTTGGTCAGTGAGCGGGTTGCATCTTCTTTTGCAGACCGCATCGGCATCGGCAACACAAGTTGGGGTATGCGTAAGCGAAAAGCTGCACTATGGAGTATCATGGCTGCTGATGAATGGATGAAACTCGGCCGAGCCGAGATCGCCGCTGAGCGACTTGATGAAGCGCAAGAGTTATATGGTGAGACGAAGAACACTGAATCATACAAGCAGTTTCATGAGCTTGCCGAATACCTAGATCAATTGCGACTGGCTGTGAGGATGAAGCTGGGAGAAGCAAGGAGAAGGGGCTTTAGTGGAGCGACGAGACAGATCGAGCTGGAGGGTCCGGTGGACGCTCAAGCCGACGTGGAAGATGAAACGGTGGAAGAAATGAATGCCCTGGAAAAGGTCGACAGCAAAGGCCACCGAAAAGTTACTCCAGGAGGGGGCCTGGGAACAGGAGCCAGTCCCCTTGAACCCGTTACGCCGTTGAGTCCGGCGCGGCTGAGTAGGGGCGACACATTCCGGCGCGATGACGATTTTGAATGAAGACAATGAATGCACCGTCCAGCTAGAGGTCCAACCAAGCATAGAAATCCAGGCCAGCGCAATCTGATTCGATCATCCGGGTACTGAGCGCGAAAAACAACCTGCCAAAATCATACAATAAGGGAGCAAAACATGATTCAAAGGCTTCGAAGGAACGAACAGCAACAGCTCGAGAAATTCTCCACTTCTATGCGTTAGCCTCAGAATGGATGTTGCGGATGTCGCTGACCCTGTACAACCTCCGACGCTGATCTAAACAGACACACTCCCGGTTGGCCTCTCTCTCTAGTCCTAATATGTGCTGATGTTCAGATCCGAGAGCCCTACGCATCAGGCCAACGATTGCCTTACTTAGAGGGGTTTGTTGAAATGTCAAATCCGATCTTCACCTCCTTTGGAAGAGTTAGTTCTGCGCAGTGGGATCGTACCTTCTGCCATCAGAATTTAGCCTCGAGATGCTGCTGCTGCTGCTGCACACAGACGGATTTCAATATCTTGGCATTGGAGCGGGCACTGTTGATAATTTTCTTCCATGGCAGATTTGACGGTAGGGACAGGATCCCGATGTGGCCGTGCTGTAGGGACTCTCCATCCAGGTTCCGCTCGTCCTCTAAAGAGTGTTCAACACAGGCAATTGTCTGATAGCTACTTATTCTAAGAAGAAGGGGGCTAAGATTCTCTGAGTGAGTGTTAGAATAGATGATGGCAGAGATATTTGATCAGGTATGGAATAACATATTGATTAATTTTTAATAAACTTAACAAAATCTCCATTTCTGCTACGCGTCACGCGACTCCAACTGCCATTTTACGCGTGACGAAAGAGTGAGAGGAAAAAACACGCTAAGCCTGCGACTGCGACCCGCGCCATCCATTCACATCAACCCGGAACATCTGTACAAGCACCAGGAAGTGCTCGGTACTTTCCAGTCTATTGTCGTCAAAGCCCATCGCTGGGCTGATGCACACTGTGATCTGAGGTTCGGTTTAACACTCAGGCGACTGCAACATCTCAGCCGATACCGAATTCTTGAGGGCCTGTGATGGCAGACCGCGATGACTTCACGGACAGCACAGACTGGTTGCAAACCCCTCTGGCCGCCCTCGCTCCGATCGACGCCTCGCTGCGATGCCAAGTATGCAAGGACTACTTCACAACTCCTGTGATGACTAGTTGTTCCCATACGTTCTGCAGCCTTTGTATACGAAGATGTCTATCTCAGGAAGGAAGATGTCCGGCGTGTCGAGAGGAGGATCAGGAAATCAAGCTGCGGAGAAATTGGGCCGTGGAAGAATTGGTCGCCCATTTCACTGCGTCGCGCAAAGGGCTCCTTACCCTTGCGACTGTGACATTGGCTGCGGAAAGAGAACGAAAAGATGATCTCGAGTCTGAAAGACCAAAGAAGAGACGAAAAGTCGCACCGGAACCGACCAGCAACGGCATTGAACGACGGAGTACTCGAAGCCAAAGTAGGAAGAATGCCTCAGATCCCGCCAGCCAACAGAGCCTCGCGTCCACTCCGGAAATCATAGAAGACAGCGAAGAAGAAGGAAGTGTATACGAAGATCCAGACAGCCACAAGAGCCCCCACTTCCTCAATGGGAACGGCGATCCGGAGCCTCAGGATGGCCTTGTCCAGTGTCCCTGTTGCCACCGGCGCATGAAGGAAACAATCATAAATTCGCATCTGGATAAATGCATACAAGGCGACAGTCACACTCCGGTCGACGATGGCGGATCCGCGTCTTCTCCTGCTCCGCCTCCTAATTCCCGATATATCGCGACACCTGGCACAATCGCTTACACCCTGAGGAAACCCTCCAAACAACAGGAGCGGCTGCCATTCATCAACTACTCCCTCCTTGCCGACAACGCGTTACGGAGAAAGTTGCGTGATCTGGGAATTCCGGATCACGGCTCCAAAGACCTCATGCGTAGACGCCACACCGAATGGGTGAATCTGTGGAACGCCAACTGCGATTCCAGTAACCCAGTCACGAAAAGGGAATTGCTCCGTGAGTTGAAGATCTGGGAGGATACGTTAGGACGGCAGCTGGACAGGTCATCAACCACCGGATTCATGGCAAAGGATTTTGACAGAGAGCACCATGTGAAGAGTCAGAAAAGCAATTTTGACGATCTGATACGTCAGGCTAGGGCAAGGAAACCCAAAGTGCCAGAGGAACAGAAATCATCTGCGGCAGAAAACCCAACGTTAGATCCCGTTCCACAACAACTAACAGACCACTCGGCCGCCAAGGACCTTTCTGAAGCTCGCCCAACACGTTCCGGGGGTCCAAATGGAGCTGGGGCAATATCAGTTCCCGAAAGTGCAGTCGATGTACAAGAGCGAATGCGAGCCGGAATTCCACAGGCTCCCACCAACGGTCTAACACAGAAGACTGCGATAGCGATCCCATCACCCACTTCATTTGAGACCGCAGTAGAACCACGGCTGGACCTCCAGACCCCAGAGAGACCTCCTGGGAGGTACTTTGTGTGAGGGTAATATATCGCAATGACACTCTTCATTCTACTCCAAATAGAAAGAATCTACATCAACTCGAAACATGAGTAATGCGAATCAACGTCGAGACTCGATGATATGACAACGCCACAGCGCCACGATGACTATTTATGAGTGAACAGCACCACGTTTTGAGACCTCCTTGAAGGAATTGGCTCCCCTGAAACTCCATAGCTCAATCCACTCTTCCGGGTTTTATATGGTAATTATCCTCTTCAGCAAAACTAGGATGCTTCTTGGGCGATCTTCTCTGGATGCGCGTCTCTTTGTGTGTCGTCCCCTGTCCGCTCATCGAGTTCTAGTCTCTGCATTCTCTCGATGCTCGACGATAACAGGGCCTCTTCCGACTCTTTGTCTTGGGCTTGGTCTTGTTGCTTGATTTCGAGGTCATCGCCTTGCTCTTGCTTTTGCCTTTCCCTTTCTTTTTGACTCTCCCTTTCCCGCTCTTTGCGCAGCTGCCCGAAGGCATCAAGCTCCCGTAACTTCTGCCTGGTCTTTTCTTCCTCGATCTTCTTCGTCTTCTCGCGCTCCTCTCTCTCCATCGCTTCAAATTCCTCATCCACTTCGTCCTCGTCGAGGACGGCCTTCGAATCCACCGGCTCTGCTAGGACCGTGGAAACTTCGTCAACTTTGCCGACTTCCTCTCTCAAGCTTTCCAGGACGTCCTCTACGCGCTCGACCCCTCCGATGCGCTTGTTGAGCGTCTTCAGCACCGATGCGGACGATTCCATCACAGCGAGGATCTCGACTTGGTCCACGGCGGATCCGATCTTGGTGTAGATCTCTTCCAGCTGATGTAAGGTGTCGAGACGCTGCTGGAGCGCCCGTTCGGCGAGTTTCTTCGAGCGAAGGGCCGATAGGGCGCTGGCCTTGTTACCGGTTTTCACGGCAGTCGAGGCTTGATCTTGTAGCACCGTGATGCGAGCGGACAGGGTCGCGGACTTTTGGTGGAGGTCTTCGATAAGAGATTTCAGAGATGCGATTGACCGATCTTCTTGGGTGATCGGCTCAGGTATGGCTGAAGATGACGGCGGTTTGAATTTGACGGTGCTGCTGTCATACGCCAGAACTTGTTTGTCACGGGAGAGGTAGCGGAGCAACACTTCCAGGTCTTGACTCGACAGCGACCCTGTCATCTCACCGGCCTGGTTGAGCACATCGTTGACGTCTTTCAGGAATGTTTCCCGTGTCATGACTCTATCAGTCAGAGTCTGTGCTTTTGTGTCTTTTTCCCTTGCAGCAGACAATCTCTTCCAGACCTCTTCTAACGCTGGAACCAACGCGAGGTTTCCAGCCTTTAACCTGCCGCCGCTCACGTCAAAGCTCCCACTGCTCCACGACATTCCAGCCTTTTGTAAGCCCCAGCGCAGAATGGCCCACGGACTCGGGATCCAACCTCTGGAGTATATGCTCTTCTCTGAGCCGAGAAAGTCTTGTAGATCAATCATCTTCCCCTGCCGTACACATTCGTCCACCACACTTCCGAGCCCGCTGGGCCTCCCATACGTAGGACTCGCCAGCGCATTGAGAAGTTCGTCGCTCGTCTGCAGAATCAAATGGTGTTGACCGTGGGGGATTTGTCCCGCGAGTGCGGCGCGCGTCAGGGCAGACGACCAGGCGGTGACATTGGCGGTGTGGCCTTCGGGGTTGGAGGTGCGTTGGAGGTTGAGGTCCGAGTAGAGCGAGGGGAGACGTGTTCTGTTACAGATGCAAAGGCCCGGGTCAGCAGGATGTCCATGTGCGGCAAATGCCCCATTCGCTGGTCAGAGATGTGGCGGAGGGAGAGGCGGACTTGCGAAACGAAGGCTCATGCTCGACTAGCCAGTCGAGGAGAGGAGACATGGCGGTAACATTGTTCTCCTGTCGAGGACAATGAGGACGAAGAGGACCCCTCTCTCAGAGGGGACTTGGAAAACTAAGTCTAAGGGGACCGTTGAAAAGTCGTGAAAACAGATGGCAAGTATTGACGACCAAGAGAGAATGTTCGTTAGTACGAGGTACACCGCCCTAGCAAAAGTATCCGTCCACCCCACCATTAGGGTTAAGTTTCCTATAGCCGACCTCAGGTTGTTTGAGACACGATTTGCAGAAGACGGATCGATCCTCTCGAAGAGCTCAGGGTTGATAGAAATGCTTCGGGCAGTGCGAAGTCTGTGAAATGCGCTTTCTCGGGTGTAGTAAGCGTGATGGATGTCGTGTGCCGACTTCTACCATCCAGCTGGACTGATGATGTTGTCTGTATCCATGACGACTTTTCCCGTGGCTTGGACCAATCAACACCCCGAGTTCAGGGAAGGGTGGTTTCAAAGAAGTAAGCTATATAGGCGATTCTTCACTTTTCACGCCTGGGCTATCCATATAGGTGTACGGGATTCGTGGGAATGGAAGTTTAGAGTGCGACGGAGAAGCGACTTTCCGCTTCTGACACGATATTGGAACGCCAGCTTAGAAGGTTTACTAGATACTGGTTCACCAAACAGTGGAAATGAGGGTCTGGCCTTATCCGTGGACCAGCCTCGCGAGGTAGAGATTTGACTCAAGTATGAGTACACCTCAATATGCTTCATCGAGCCTGTCGAATGCCCCACAGTAGCGACGCAGTTCACGATGTTGATGTTTTAAACGGAGCTACTACAGTCGGACTACCCAGGTTATTATAGTCTCTCAATACTCCTGTGTAAGACATCTCTTTCAATAAAAAAAATTCCATGCTGATACTGTTGCCGATTATGAAATGCCCAGGACCTAATCTACCTACTTTCTCATCAGGGATCTTGACAACAACCCTCAAAACTTTCTTGTTTCCCAGTAGACTTGGCTCACGCATTGGGCTCCGGCTTCTTTCTTTCCGACGCACCCTTGAATATGGTACTCAAATCTCCTGTTGGCAGCCGGAGTGGAAAGTCTACAGCCATGAGAATCATTGTGAAAAATAGATACCATCCGAATACACAGAAGACAAATATAAAGGCTCCGGCAGCCTTGTCGCATCTGTTAGAATTTTCTTCTTAAGACGAACAATATATCGACCAGGGAGAAAAGGCAGGGTTCACTAATAGCAAAAAAGCTTGTGATTGAACTGATGTGACAAAATTCGAAAAAGTGGACTGACTTACCTTTTGACACTTTCCAGAAATCGCCGTTTTACCTTCAGCGGCGGACCAGTATGTGGCCATCAACATGATGAAAGCAAGGTCGATGAAGAGGAAGACCAGGACGAATACGACATTAGTCCGGAGAGAGCCGATGAGGAAGAAGAAGGTGACGAGGGCCATCACCATCCAGAAGAACGCTTGGGACATAGACAATGTCGTTAGTAAGTTTATACGTGTCTTACGGTGGGAAAGATGAGCATACTCACAGAAACTCGAGTAAAACTGTGCAGTTCCTCCGGGCTGTGAGGCGTAATAGGCTTGTGCGTTGAACGCGGGCTGGAGCGTTACTCCCATCGCCAGCCAAAACGCACCTGTAAGCCCAGGCCGTTAGTCTTGTTCTGGAACAAGACCTCTTGAAATAGCCATCCAGCGGTAGTAGTTACCTACCGTAGCAAGCAAAGACAACGAATGGAAAGGTATTGCCGATGATCCATTCCAAGATACATCCAAGGATTTGGAGCATTCCACCAAAGAAGAAAAAGAGTCCTCTACCGACAAAGTCGTGGTCAGCATAAGTGAGGAATGGGGGGAGGGCAAGTGATCGTAAATAAACCATATTCATACTTACATTATGGCTGCTCCATCGCCACCGGAACCTCGCCAGCCCATCAGATTACATCCTAACGGCATAGACGCGATCAAGAAACCCATCAATGGCCTTTGATTATTCGTTAGTGGATACAAAGCCGATTGCTTCATGTATAACTGACATAGGCGTTGGGTTTCCAAACGTGCTGCGTAGATGTCCGAGTCTCTGCGTATATGGAGAGAGGTACATTGACTCGAAGACGTCTCTGGGAATAACCACGCTCGAAGCTGTCTGATAACGAGTCAAATACTCATTTTGCATGTCAGTCGCTTTACTCCCTTCCGGTAATGTGTCTCCGTTTTGGTTGTTGTTGGTGGCAGCGTCAGTAAACCCTTGCTCATCTGTCGCCATGTTGTTCGAGTAATGATACTGAAGTATTGCCACGTCGTTCAAAAGGACTGCGCGAGCTGCAAAGAAGGTTGAGAGGTACCATTTCAAAAGCGTGCTGCAAGAAGTCTAGAGCCATCTATATATTTGCTGCCGGGTTGACTCGACCCTCTCCATCCCTCTAGTTGAAAAGGAGTGGCCTGTCTGTTTTCGGTCGTCCCTAAAGTCTTGGGTCAATGATCAACCACCGGTCTCTGGATCAGTCAGTCAGTGGAGAAAGCCAAAAGCCTGCCCTTTTCTCCAGACTAGCAGCACCAACGGATGTCGCCTCCGGGACTTGTTCGACCTTTCCCGTCCCAACCGTGACACCCACCTCTGGAAATACAGACCCCTGTTAGCCTTAACCGTATCTAGTCGAGACCCCGGAAACTTCGTGAACTTGTCCATATTGGCTGAACCCATTCTTCCGACAGCACAAAAGATGAGGTAGAATATCAGGAGATAGAGGTGGTCTTTGACATTTCTACGTACGCACTACCGCCGCGTCATACTTCTTTCTATTCTGGAATCTACCATACATCCAGGACCAACTGTGATCAAGATGACGAATGGATCGGGACAAACGTGAGGACGAGTAGCTACCTCATGGCAAACGAGTTAACTGCCGAATCTTTTTGAAGGAGCCCACGATCAAGGCATTGAGTAATATTGCAATCGGTGATCCTAGGATCAGGTCCATTCACAGAGCCGCCAAGACTACGAGCCGTCTTCGGTGGAAAGGGGGCAGCTGTTCCATTGAGACACACTGTCTGTCAAGCAGTGTAACCAGGCGGTGGAATTTCCGAAACGCAATCGCCATCGCCACCTGGTTCTGCGATGATAGCTTGTAGAAACTCTCTCGTAGGATCTCCAGTACCACTTGTATTTGCACGATAATCTTGCCACTGAATCCCGCTCAGGTAGCACCCGTACTCATCATCTTCCTCTATGCCTTCGCTCAATCGTCTTTCAAGCTCTCTTTCAGACTGAGCAACGACCCGGAGAGGAACGTCGCGTAAAGTGAACTTGTGCTTCTTCTTTCTGTATTTCATGCGAAAGGAAATCTCGAGGCTGTGAAAGCGAGCAATATTGTAGGTTGAAAAATCTGCAGTCAGTAGATCGGGAGGAAGGGACATATCGGTGGCGTCGCAGAGGTTGGCCGATGAGGTCGGAGTGCTAGTGGTTGTTTGAGTCGCAGATGGCTCACCGTGGGAGACAGGCACTGTAACCGATCCTCTTCGAATGAAAACGCGCTGGGAAGATGAGCTGGTATGGGACCCGGCTCGTACCTGTGTATGTCGCACTAGTGCAAGCTTGAAAGAGCACACAACAGCGTTCGGACATTGTTCGTCTGTCAATGGCGATAGCTCCTGACCTACTGTAGAGTGGCCCATCGTGCAGGAAATTGGGACGAAGAGCGCTTGCTGTTCTTTGATTTCCACTTTCTTTGGCAACCAGACAGAAAAGAAAAGCTTCGCTTCGGATGCCGAATGTGCACTTGTTCTGGGAAGAATCGGGATCAGGCGGTAGATAGACTGAGATGGATAACGCCCAGGGGCACAGCACATCGTGTGACGATGAACACTATACGGCCAGTCGTCCCCAGGCCGTGTGCGGCAAGTCATATCCAGGCTCTGAACGGATATCGATCGAGATGCTTGCAGTGTAGCCCCCTTCCTTTTGAGGTGGTTGGCAGCTGGAGGTCGGTACACGAGTGTCGCTTCGAGGACATATTGTATAGAGCAAATAAACTTGCCGCTTTGCTTCATACTAGGAGGCAGAGGGTGGGCAACCCGTGCAAGATCACCCTTCCAGGGGCGCATTGGATAGAACGAGTCTGTCGTCCCCGGTGCCACAGCTCGAGGTGCCGCAAACAGTGGAATCCGAAAAGCAAAGGGCCATGAGTAGGTCCCTTTATCCTCAATGCTTTCACCACTGTGTAGACTCATATGCCGGCTGAAGAGGTAGCTCTCCGATGTATAGTCTGTTCTGGAGACGACCATGTCGCTATAGTATTGATTGAGAAAGACTTTAGTTCGGCCTTTGAAGTCGATATTCAGGGATTCAATGATTCGTTCTTCGTAGGTAGTGAGCTTGACTACGCCCAGAACCATGGATCCAGGTGTCAATGGCTTCTCTTCATCATAGGAAAGTTTGATGGAAAGAGCCATGGGAGAGTTACAATGAGTCAACAACTCTTAGTAGTCCAGCGTTTTTCGATATGTCTGCACTGTCCTGAGCAGATCATCAATAAGTTTCCCATACCTTATAGTAGCTTCATATATCACTGCGCAATTTGAGGGTACTGTATCAATATACGTGAAGCAATGATCGGACATAGTCTGTTCAGGTGACACCCTATTATGGCGAAAGACACAGTGGTTGCCAGCCATGGTCCAAATGGAGCTCGCACGAACAAGTGACCTTACTCCCCGCTTCCCCACATTTATGAAAGAGCTAACTCCCCTTTCACCTAGCCTGTGCCGCCCGGCCCGTACGGAACAAAAGTCTGGCTTCTCCCGCGGACTTTAGGCTATGCCCAGATGGGAGAACACCAAGCATGCAATGTTCACGTCACACAGGGCGACATGTGCACAAGAGTATTAACACGATGGTTCAGGGGAGGATAGTTGGTACAATGACTTCCCACTATCGTTGGTTCAGAGACAGAGATGTAAGCCGTGCTCAATAACTGGGTTGTCCGCCTGAACAGCATTGTCATTCTTCGGTTTTGATGGATCAGCTCCATGCGCCTTCATATCGTCTTCATTCACTTTCTGGCCACGGAGTTCCTTGGGTGTTTCCACCAGGCGTAGCTACCACGTATTCCCTCTTAGCCTTTCCAAGTGGTGGAGTAAGCTTCCGTAAATCAGGTTTCGAGGATGGCTGGGACTCAGTGTTTTGCTTCACTCCTCCTTCGAGCCCGCTTTCAGGTTGATGTGCACCGTCACTCAATGAGCGTTTACGGTGGATGCCTTTAGGGTGCAGCAAAGAGTTGTGATGCACCGACTTGTTCGCGCCGTAGTCCTGCGTCTGACGGTTTTTGGGCAATGCTTTTGGCTCCGGTTGATGCGCATTCGTCGAGTTCTGTCCTTGATCTACAACTGAAGCTGGGCTTTCATCGCTGCGATCCATTGTGATATTCTGAGGCGCTGTATATGAATCGGCGATTTGTGCAACCTCCTCTGCCGGTCCATGTATCTGAGATCAATTTAGCTTCTTGTTCTCGAGACGTTCGATTTGCTCAGCTTCTGCGATGAATCTGAAATGACCTACTCACCCCAGGTTTCAAGCTTCTGCGGTGGAGGATTTTGTCAAGCATCTTTCACTGATGTCGGGGCGATCTTGCCTTGTGATGATGGCCAGAACGGTCAATCCTGGTGACCTGTATAGGAGACAACAGGGCAGACTCGGCCTTACATTATGAGTAGTGCTGCTAGTCTATCATCTAATGGAAGCGCTGGCCAGCAGAAGACAACGGCGGGCGGCTCTGACGGCAGGTGCTGTTCCGGGCAAGATAATGCGAACGTCACTCTTTCTAGCCACTTTCTGATGGAAATTGGAAAATCCATAGCTTAAGGATGGTAAAAGCAGAATGCGTGTCCCAGTACCATGCTAGTAGTGCTCCACAAGATTTAATCAAAATTCCATATCATGTGAGATCGCCATATTTGTAACGCAGTCTTTCACAAATCTACATTATCATCAGACACTCACGTCAACAATATAGGTATCAGTGAGTTTCAAACAACACTGGACCGTTCTGCCCGGTCGATCCGAGGTAAACTATTATGTCGCCTGGCAACAAGGCTCTTCATCCAATACTGCACCACTAACAGTAGTGTCTCGAAGACGACGTCCAAATGTGACCCATTTCATTGAAGTATGAGGAGCTTTCGGACGATCAATCTGAATAACCAGAGCAGGTGTTACATCATGCAGTCGCGTCTATATATCCTTCTACCTCTTCTTCAGAGACCAGAGGATTTAACAGCACCGAAACTATTAAGACCATGAAATTCATCACAAGTCAATTCAAGATATAAGCATCAAGATGCAGCAGACCAGTCGAAATGGGGAGAGACAGCCTATGCAAAAGAGAACACAGAGGACTCCTCATAGCATCAAGTTCCGGAGGGACTACCGAGCTGATCTGCCACTGATTATTTCCCGGTTCACAGGTTATCGACCGCCAAACGCTGAGCCTCCATATGAGCCTTTGCCATTTCCGCCATTCTCATGGTTGGAGAAAATCCCACTCCGGCTTGAAGTCTGGGTTTTTGGTTGGATTGGCGCTTTCGGCGGCATCCTTCTCATCGAGGCAATCATGTCAACCAGCACCGCTTTTCGCGACATCTATCACACACCTACTATCATTACGTCATTTGGTGCGTCCGCCGTTCTGCTTTTCGGGGTCATCGAGTCTCCAGTAGCGCAACCACGAAATTTTGTCTTGGGTCACTTCATCTCGGCTCTGGTAGGAACCGCAATTACCAGGTTGTGGGTCTTGAACGCGAGTTATCAGGGATACCTGGAGAACACCCATTTTCATCCTTCGACTTTTATCAACGGAGGACTGTCCATGGCAACTTCACTCCTCGCCATGCTGATCACGGGAACGGCTCATCCTCCGTGAGTGGTGTCTGAAGAGGTGCCAAAGGACACACATATTAACTGTTGCGCAGCGCCGGTGCTACGGGTCTCAATGCGGCGGTTCAATCGGACGTGGTAACGTTATCGTGGCGATACTTGCCCACTGTTCTTGCCTCATCCCTCATTATGCTCGGATGGGCTGTAATCATCAATAATGTCGGGCGTCGTCGTTATCCGCTTCATTGGTGGGCCCCTGGTGCAACATTCGTTCATGCCGAAGAAGATTCAGCGCTGGAAAAGGCGGAAGAAGGAGAGATTGAACGTGAAGAGATGGAGGAGGGTGAACTCGAGCGAGAAAGTACTGCTGCAAGTGAAGGGCTGCCTCGGGATGGTGAAAAGCATGGAGAGATCATGCTCCGGCCTTCCTCGAGAAGGATGAGGCGTGCAAGCATTGAGGCAGAGCCAGCGTCTTTGGAAAGTGCGGTGGATGCAAGTCCGGGAGAGTTTTCGAACCGTCGGCTGAGTTCCAGTCGGGAGCGGTATCGGTTGGGCTAGAGATTTGATTGGAAGAAACAAGCTTGACTGGAATGATTCGAGGGAGTCCGTATTAAGAGGCATAGAGTTCTATCTTGAGGAGGTCTTTTGAGACATGGGGCTCATAAAGCATTAACAAGTTCTACCAATGCTCTAGCCTTCATGATCAAACCCATGCAGAGTATACGAGATCCAGGAAGTAAATATTATCGACGAATTCCGGTAGCCCTTGACCGAGTCGCTGTTGATTGATTGCTGTGGGCTGCTGCAGTCGTCAAACACCGCGTCCGTTAACCGTAGACGCTTCGCGCACCCCATTGGCAACGAGGTGGGCGGTTGTAAATGTCACCACGGCATAGGACGCTCGCTGGACATGGAAGGGGATGCTTTGATTCAGCCAAATTGGTGATGCAGGCCTATCTATATCTCATCCGGATTCAATGTAACCATTTGTAACAATCAAGTATCAATATCCTGCGAGGTTGCGAAGAATTCTGAGAAATATGTTTGTCCTGCAGTGCCAAGGCGTTTTCTGATGGAAACCAAACACGTGATGTTTGTGTTGTTCCTTCCCTCTCACGCCTTAGTCTTGCGTGCTCGACGCATTTCAAGTCATTGTCCCAGAGCTTGAGGCACGGTGGTGTTCAGAGGAGAGGCGACGAAGTTCCTGCGACTGTCGGTTCATCTCCCGAGTAAGATCTTTCGCGAGCGCGAGATTCTCTTCGAGGGTGTGATGGCGAACAAGAATATCTTCTTCTCCATCCTCAGCATCAATGTCTTCACCCTGTGAACTTCGTTCAATGTTTTCCTCCAGAGTGTGGTGGCGATAGACTTCAGAATCGTGGCGATTCTCAATAGGCGGAGGCATTGCGAGTTCACTTAGGCTTCCAAGAGTGTCGGACTGGCGCTGATCTTTCGATGGCTGAGAAGATCGTTCCAGTTTGAAAAAGGCACGGATTTTCTTCCACATGATTCTCCTTGCGTCATTTCCTTGTTTAACAGAGTTCTTTGTTAACAGCTGAAATTCTCGAACGGAAGATATCTTGCCTAGACTATAAGCACGACTGGTGTCTCGACTTTGCTCGCCTTCAATAAGAAAGCCTTCTCACCTGATCATTGTGGGGAACCTTCTCACATGGTGAGTGCATGAGACTAAATTACATTTCCGCGCGGTCCGGGTGGACAGGCCTGGCAGGTGAAGTCCCCTGACTTGTAACTTTCTGTGACGCCACTGCTCTCTACCTAGGCATGGCATACAAGATCGTTTGAAAGAGAACTTTGGCATACTCTGTCACTCAGCTTTTGGCTGCTAGCCTTGTACTATATCAATCAATATGCGTAAGATACAATTGGATGGTTATACTCTCAGCGCGGTGGGCGCTCCTGACTCTTTGGAGTATCGGTTATATTTCTCGAGCAATGGGTCACCCGTTTCGATTTGGCACGACGTACCGTTGTACGGTGATGGTGACAAGCAGAGCTTGAACATGGTGGTAGAAATACCTCGGTGGTCCAACGCGAAGTTCGAGGTATGTATTAGAGAGAAATTGCTGGCCGGGCAAAGATCACGGATATGTAGATGGGTCACTGACAGTAATGCCGACAGATTTCTCGGAATGAGGCATTCAACCCGATAAAACAGGACATCAGGGAGGGCAGAGCCCGCTTTGTACGAAATGTTTTTCCTTACAAAGGCTACATCTGGAACTATGGTGCTCTCCCAGGAGTAAGTACCGGGCCGTCCAGTGCAGCGTTTACAGAGCTCGAACCATTGACTCGTCCAGACCTGGGAAGATCCCTCCCACATACATCCAGACACCAAGCACCCAGGCGATAACGATCCTCTTGATGCCCTTGAAATCGGCGAGGAAATTGCTTATACCGGCCAGATCAAGCGTGTAAAGGTTCTTGGGGTAATGGCTCTCCTGGACGAAGGTGCAACAGACTGGAAGATCATCGTTATCGATATCAACGATCCTTGCGCCAGAAAGGTAAACGGCATCGCAGATATACAACAACATTTTCCGGGTCTCCTGGATGCGACCCGAGACTGGTTCAGGTTATACAAGGTTCCCGACGGCAAAGAGCCCAATAAAGTCGCCTTGAATGGAGAATTTAGAGATCGAAAGTGAGTTTCTTCCTGTTAACACGTTAAGAACCCTTTGTTCTACCGTGCCCGTGCATGCCACAAACGCACAAAGGTATCTGACGAGACCCCTAGTTACGCCATGTCAATAGTCCAGGAATGCCAAAGGGCATGGGAAAGACTGATTGATGGCAAGACATCTCCAGGGAAAATAAGTCTTGTCAGGGGAGACGAAAGCCACAGATTGTCGGGTTTCGCCAATCCCGTAGAGGACGATGAACATCGATCGACGGACGGGAATTTGGATAAATGGTTCTTCGTAAAGATGTAAATTGCGTATATCAGCTCAAGTTCCTCTTGGCCACATATTCCATGCCGGCTTCTATGAACGCTTCCCAGAAAAAAATGCATAACATCCTGAATCTACCAAAGATATGATGATGGTTGAGTATGTACTCAGCAAGTTCTGGACTCGGCTGACGTTAAAGTTTGTGGGAAAAATCATGCGAACTTAGCCTGGGAATAGGCATACCGAAACGACTCTCCAGCGTAGGAAAAGTCAACTTTCCGTGCCTGCAATTCCTCTTCGATATCCATTAGCCGGTTGTACTTGGCCACCCTCTCACCGCGACAGGGTGCACCGGCTTTCAGATGGCCACAGCCGATGCCCACTGCAAGATCTGCGATGAAGTCGTCTGTTGTTTCCCCGGAGCGATGAGACACGAAGACGGCCCAGCCAAGTTCGTACGCCCGTTTTGTCGCCGCGAGAGATTCACTGACTGTGCCGATCTGGTTGACCTTTAAGAGCAGGGAGTCGCACGCGTCAGCTTCTGCGGCTTTCTCGATTCGTACGAGGTTGGTCGCTAAGAGGTCATCGCCCACTAACTCGATATTGTCAATCTTTGAAACCACGTGAAAACGTTTCCATGACTCCCAATCGTCTTGCGCAAAAGGGTCTTCCAGCAAGACGATTGGATACTTGTCGACGAGACTTCTGTACAGATCTGCCAGTTCCGTGCTGCTGAGTCTGTTTGGCTTGTTGGACTTGAAGCCCAAGTCGTAGTGTCCATCGCCGAAGAATTCCGACGAGGCCGGATCAATGCCGATGTTGATCTTCCCTTCATGTCCTGCGTCCTTGATGGCGGACATTATTAGATCCAATGCTTCGGTAGGTTGAGTTATGGGCGGCGCGAAACCCCCTTCATCGCCAATGCCAATAGCTGCTTTCCCGAACTTTTCGATGATGATTGATCTCAATGTCTGATACACCTCGCTCGCCCATTGGATGCCCTGAGTGATGGAGGTAGCACCAATCGGCGCAATCATGAATTCTTGAAATGCCATTGTATTCCCCGAGTGAACGCCACCATTGAGAACGTTGAAGAAAGGCACCGGAACAATGTGATGCATTGGTGATGATTGAAGCTCGCTGGCCAGAAAGTCATATAATGGCATTTCCTAGCCAATGACTCGTCAGCAGTCTGTTTGATTACTCCGAACCCTGCGGGCTCACCTTCGCAGCTGCACATGCCCTGGCACAAGCCATGCTGACACCGAGAATAGCATTGGAGCCCAGGGCACTCTTATCCGAGGAGCCGTCCAGCTTGATCATGAAGCTGTCGATCTCTTTCAACCCCATTTCCAGATCATACTGCTTTTCGAGAAGCGCAGGACCGATAGTCTCTCGCACGTTTCGGACGGCTTGCTGGACTCCAGCTCCTCCGTATGCCTCACCCCCGTCACGCAGCTCGATCGCCTCATAGTCTCCTTTGGAGGCGCCCGACGGCACAATGGCGCGGAATTTTCCGTCTTTTGTTTCCACCTCGACTTGCACAGTGGGCTTGCCCCGCGAGTCGAGACGTTGAAACGCTTTCACAGATGTCAATATGGTCGGCATCTTTGAAGCAATGAACACACGCGTAATCACGAGAGACTGCAGATTTTCAATGCTCTTTGTCTGCGCGTTAGCGGTTCCATTTAGATTGATCAAAGAACGTAGAAGCATCGAATATATATAATATAGCGCGTTACCTTACCTGAGGGCGATGTCCTCACGTTGTTAGGGTCTAATAGGCAAACACGGTACGGCCGGGATAGTAGTCTGATTTTCTTCCCGTGGAGTGGGCTGATCTTGACGCCCCATCGCCATCTTAAAATAACGACTGTGCGAATGATTGGGCGCACGAATCTCATAGGTGAAGTGGCCCGCAAGATGTGACCCAAGGATAAGCATATGCCAACCCATCTTGAGCATAAGACGGGCGCAAAGGAACTAAAATTGTTCCAATTCGAACTATTTGCCTTTGTCACACGACAAGAACACATCTTCTGTTTTTCAACATCACACAATATCCCAGATCTAAGTCTCCGAAGGCTGTAGGAAGGGGTTGTAAGCTGCATTCACAAATTGTGCCGACCCTGCCAATGCGTAAAGCGTGTTAGCTTGAAGTATATGCGAGTGAAAGGCTACGCAGGGATCGAAAGAATGACAGCTCGATAGGGATTGATTTCGTTCTAAGTGGAATGCCTCTGTCGCTGTCGGGGAAATTTGCTTGAGAATCACTTACACATTACCGGCTCTGAGACCTCGTAGGGCATGGTCTGGAACATGAGGTTGAAAGACTCTTGACTTAGTCCCATAGAGTCAAGCTGTGACGGCATTGTGGCCTGGAAGAGATCGTCGGATGGTAGTGTATTTGATATATTATCGGTCCCATTCTCTGCCGTAGGGACAGCCCCGAATGCAACACATTTCATCGTCCCCCCTAAGACGAGCAAGCCGTTAGTTAGAACAAGATTCTGTAGGAGCGTAAAGGGAAGACTTTGAGCATGATGAATATAGGACTCCCTGACGCAATAGCCGCGGGATTCAGTCAGAGACAGACACGGATGCCTTGTCACCATGACGAGAATGCAACGGTAAGCAGCAAGGGCACAGCTGCTCGTTGTTGGGATGGATGTAGTACTCACCTTTGGAGATCGTCCTTGTTTTCTTGAGCCTTTGCATCATGTCGCTCGCCAGCCTTGCTGCATTTGAGTTGGAGCTGAGAGCTTGACAGACCTTTAGGCAAACTTCGGCATCTTCGTCCACCGCTGCCCAGTCTATGTCTCTGAAGACTTCTTTGTCTGAATCCAGATCCACGCAAATGCTTGCAACAAGAAGGATTGAACTGGCACAAATGAGACATGATATCATCTGCCACCAGGGAAAGCCATAAACGAGGCTCTTCTTGTCGTCGAGATTGTGGAGTAGTTTTGCAGTGTGTTGCGCAGCAACGATGCACTTTCTTTGAGACATTGAGATGCGGCCGCCTTCTGCTTGATAAAATACCACAGGGTTGGGAACCGTTCCCAGTAATTTGGCGGGTGATAATAGGGGCCGGTGAATCAGCGCTTGAAGGTTGTAGAACTTTACAGCAAGCATATTTCGCTGGTCTTCGTATCAATAAAACATACTGTTTGGCTTCGTACATGGATACGTACCTGTCTTTTGTAGACAATCGACTTTTCAAATGTATGAGACAGATCGAATCTCAAATTTCGCCGCAAGTTGGATCGCCATTGAGACAATTCGTCATCTAAACGATCGATGTGTGACAGGATCAAAACGGGGTCCTCGGCTCTTCTTGGTCCGTACAGACTCTCGAATACTCTTCCAATTATTTCCGAGAACTTGATCATTTCAATAAAGTAGTCTCCCACCCAGTCTGTCCCGTGCGTGCCATGCTGACTACTTGGGCTGGCCAAGTCGACGTCCGACTGTTGAGACGGAAGCTGGACATCGAAGCCTTCCTCGCTAATAGCTGGTGGACGTCCCAATTGCAACGCCAGGAGACGATCCAGCACAAATATGGAGTACCAAACTCGACGACACATTTCTTGTGGCGCCAGGTCATTTCCACCACCCGTGCGATGAGCATCTTCAACGTGGAGACCAATGCTTTGGGCAATTCGGACAGCCGAACCCAGTGTTGTCCAACATCGGTCGGTCTGACAAGTGGCCAGCAGATAGAAACATTGAGCGAGGAGAGCACAAACATGGTCGACCGTATGGTGCGAGCTATAGTTTTGCGCAATAGCTATCGCGCGATCGAAATGACGTTGATGCTGACAAGACGTCTGCGGATTGGAAGTTCCCCCTTCGGCTTCGGCGATCCCCGTGTAACAGGAACCGATGGCGAAGATGGTCACTAAGGAAAAGTTAGTGTTCTTTAATTGAAGCCATCTACAGGTTCAAAAAGATTGCACAATCGAGGATTCTGAGATAGGGCCAAGACGTTTTAGGTACACTGGCGACCAGCACCTGCATATCTGTTTCGGGGGAGCCGCCAAAGACGACTGACATACAAGAAATCTTCCGAACTGTTTGGCGATCCTTCTTAGAAATGCACTTACACAGCAAAGATAGCCAGGGGCCCCGGAACCCCTCCAGTGAGTCTGATCGCCAGAAAGATTCGTATGTTCGCCTGAAATCTGGTTGCGAGATGAAGGGATAAGCAATATGGATAGTAGAGAAGTATATGTCGACGAAACTGTCCGCAATGGCCCGAGGCGGCAAGGACCCCTGGTTCTGCTCCAAAGGCTGCTGGCGAGGGCCTTCTTGTTCATAGCTCTCGACTCGCGCCTCGGGATTATCTTCTTGCTGGACAAATTCGGTTTGCTGGCAAAGGGCCGATTCCATAGCATGGAAAAAGCGAATGTCACTGGCCTCACCTAAGTACCGTCGGAAGGCCGTGGGGTGGCAATCACCAGCCACATCCTGCTCTGGCGACGGTGGGACACTTGTGGCATCATTTCCAGTCTGCTTTGCTAAGTAGTTGGGAAGCTGAATTGATGCAAGTCGCAAGTCGACCACCTTGCACTCATCCCGAGACAGGTTTTTGCGCAGGTATGCAATCAAGCTTTCGTATATGGCAATTGCATCTCTTACTTTTCGGCCGTCAGTCTCCATAGAGAGCTGATTCAGATTCGCATCATGGCCATCGGAGCCAGACTTTCGAATCCGACCCTCATTCCAGCGACAGGCATATCCATAGCCAGCGCAGCGTCCACAAGTCGGATGGTTGCCATCGCACTTTAAGGCAAACATATCAGCTCCAGCCCTCCAAGATAACAAATAGCATCGTACAACATCAGGCATGGCTTTACCTTTGCTTTCAGGGTGCGGCAACTGTCGCAAGCGCGTGAGACGCGTCGTCGCTTCAAAGACGAAATTGTGGCCATCTGTTGGGACACTTCCGTTGTCGGAACATTGGATGCGGCGGGAATTCGTTCGGGTTATGGAGTGGCACCAATGCCGGGTACATAAACATAATACTTTGTTTCGAATCAATCCGGATGACGTCATGGGCCGCCAGTTCTCATCGACCCTGTATGGGCGTGGTGGGCGGCATTTTTCGACATCCTGTGTTTTCGTGTCCGGAAGCAGCGGTAACGACGAACCTGTAGTAAGATACACATCTGTCGTCTCAGGCTCATTTATTCAGCACGTCGCTTAACTTCAGTCGGGACTTCCATGGACTGCCGAGGAATTTGGCTTCGACCATCAACAGCTTACATTCTAGCGAGTGGTAACGAAATTACCCCTGCCTCTGAGGTACAATACATGGATCTTCCTCGAGTTGGTTTAAGTCTACTGGTGCCAACACTACCTGGTTGAACGTAAAATGGCCATTAAATACCCATATATGAGTGGACCTTCACCTTCTGAAAAAAGCGAAGTGCGATAGCTGGGACGTCACGAGAGCTCGTGCTCTACGGAATACTGTCGTAGCCATTGGAGGCATCATGATTTCATTTAGACCAGGTTTTCTGCGGGGAGCAATGGCAGCCCCACAACGCCTTCAGGAACACACGCATAAGCCGGAACAGGCGGAAACAGACCTTCGAGAACGGTCAGCCAGCAGAAACGCATGGGATCCCAACAAGGACGAGGGCGAATACGTCAATCTCATTCGATCCATCTCAACCTACCCGAACGGTCGATTCTCCCAAGCTCAGTCACAGGTGTCAACAGATGTGGTTCAAGTATTCCCTGATAGTGTTTGGCGAATGATTTTGCGTTACGGATGACAGAGATATTGTCTCTACGATGGATATAAGTAGGTAATGTTGTCGCTGTTTGAGTGCTGGAACCTCATTCGATGTACAATGGAACAAAAGACCCTGAAATGGCCAGACAGGTGAAGATCTACATAATTGCACGAGCTGATCATTTTCTGCATCTTGCAAGCGTGAATAAGCTTGGGGTACAGATGAAGTTAAGCAAATGCGTTAAGTTGTCGTGTCCTCATTGTCCAGGGGAGAAGAGAATCAGGTAGCGTGGTAGTCTTCAGCTCGTATTATACATACTGAAAACAGGATTCTGAGCCGAGGGCCGCTTGACATGAGTCTATAGCGGAGAACGCCTGATCTACAATTCAGCTCCCGTGGGTCAGTGATAACCTTGAAGCCTTAACACAGGCAAGAAGGAATGGAAGGAGAGGTAGCGCAGTTCATTCTTGAACATTATGCTGTGTTCCAATCACCCTCGCGACTTGAGGCTCTGAGCGAGATTATTAGACACTCTGCTGCACTGAGTTGAGAGTGGTACATTCCTGGTTTCCAGGTATTGTCAAAAAATAGGACCTCTCCCAAAGCCTCAAAATCTGTTTAGACCAGTGCCACCTGGTGAGAGGGAGATGGAAAGCTGGGAATTGCTTCTTTCCGTGTTTCCCGCTCGACCCGTGACATGGTGAATCGGAGATCGGATAGGGGGAGATAGCGTGTAGCTAATAAAGCCAGATCGTGGCGTCAAGCCTCATGACGACTCTTGTCTCGTTGTCATCTGCATTTGTCTCTGTTGCCAGAACAAAGTGTGCCATGCCTCTGCCAGGCCATGTCTCAACCACTCGTACCCGAGGTGGTCAACCCGGCCATGATATGTGCAGCTGTTTAGAAGAGCAGCAGTTAGAGTCGGCTCAAAACCCACAGTCGCAGGCAGATGGCGATGATGCTGTGTTGTCGGAACTGACTATCCCTCAACCTGTGGAACAACCTGGAGACATGAGCCGCGAGGCTTTCGAAACAGGCGAACAGATGGCCCACAGGCACTCAGTAGCCCACTGGAACCTCGGAGAGAATGGAGAATTGACGGAGCTCGCGATACCTGCGCCTATCCCTAGCCGAACCCGCGCAGACGAGCAGGATTTCATTCTAGGGTCGACAGATGACTCGCGATTCTCAGGTTCCTCAACCTCGCAAGTGTCATCGACGCGACCGCAAGAAGAAAAGCCCTCAAGGCAGTCAAAAACGGTTATAGCATACACGGAGCTCTGTGCAATTAGTTGGATGATCTTCTTTTCTATGCTAGGAACGCTGGCTCGCCTCGGGGTTCAGGCTATATCGGTATATCCTTATAGCGTCTTTCCATCTCCTGTCCTTTGGGCCAATCTTGGGGGTTCCCTTTTTCTGGGTCTTTTGCTGGAGGATCGATCTCTGTTCCGGTATGCTGTCAAGGTCGACACTGATTCCGAAACTTTTCACAACGAGGTGGACAAGGTGAAAAAGACTCTGCCCTTATACGTTGGATTGGCAACTGGGTTTTGCGGCAGCTTCACGTCCTTTTCAACGTTCATCACCGATGCCGTCTTCGCCCTCACAAATCAGCTGCCACCATCCGCAGCAACATCTCCATTCCACAGTATATCCCAGGAGCAGATGCATTCACGCTCAGGTGGATATTCTTTCATGGCCCTGGTAGGGATCCTGATCATACAGAGCGCTGTCAGCCTGGCAGCCCTTAAATCCGGTGCCCATTTGGCCGTGGCTCTCCAAACGATAATACCATCACTTCCCACCACCATTCTCCACCGAATTCTTGACCCAATCTCAATCCCACTGGGCTGGGGATGTTGGCTGGGTGCGGTTGTGATCTGCATCTGGCCTCCAGAGGACGAATGGCGTTATCAAGTGTTATTCGCCATTGTACTTGCCCCCCCTGGCACTTTGCTTCGATTCTATCTGTCTAAAGCCCTCAACGGCCGCATAACAGGATTTCCATTGGGGACCTTCGTTGCCAATATCTTTGGGACGATCATCGAAGCCATGTGTATGGACCTACAACATGCCAGCTCAATCATGGCGGACATTTCTGACTTCAATTCCGCACCATGTGCGGTCCTACAGGGCGTCATGCTCGGTTTCTGTGGCTGTGTCACCACCGTCAGCACTTGGGTGGGTGAGTTGAATAGTTTACAAAGGAAGCATGCCTGGATCTACGGCATCATCAGCATTGGTGTCGCGCTGGCCTTTCAGATCGTGATTATGGGCACCATGATTTGGACGGTAGGCTATACCCAACACTGCTCATCGAGAACAATAGCCTGAGGAAAGCCGGGGGGGGGGGGGACTTTTTTTACCCCTTCATCCAACATAAAGATAGTGGGCTAAAGCTCTTCTGATGTTTGAGTTCGCCAGTCATAGAGTAAACGGCGATCAAGGCGGCGGCGTCTGCAATTGACGTTCACGGCAGTTTTCTAGATATCAAAAGTCTGAAACGATAAAATAACTAGATACGGAGACATTAGTCGCGTCCTGAACGATCTGCTATTAAGTCCTCGTTACGGCACTCTTGAAAAATTGGAAATGAAACATTCTCTCTTCCGATACTGACCGTGATCATGAACTACGGTCTGGGGAAGTCCAATTGTCATTGCTTCGGTCGTGACTAGAGCAACCACCTGCAACAGACTCGGTACTTTGTTCCAATCGTAATGCGTGAAACCAGATTAGAACAAGGGAGAAGTGGGCCACCGGTGAAAGCGCAATCTTCTGGGTATCTTCAATGCCGATATTGTCGACGTTGAATATCGACCCGATCTAAAATTGGTTCTTAATGTACACTGCACTTAAGCCGCAGCGCATCCAACCAGTCAATATCTGACCATCGTCGTTAAATTCACTGTCTACAACCCGAGAAGGATCTGCTTTCGAATCTAAGTTGTCTTTGAAGCAAGCAAGACCTACTTGAAGGTAGCGCCTTTTGCGTGGACAGATCTTTCAATCGACGGCAAAGTAGTAAGAAAGGATGGCCAAATCAGCTCAACATCGTCTTGTTTCCCTTCACGACAGTAGTTAATCCATATACTCCAAGTCATGTTGACATAGTGCGCTAGAGCAATGCTTAAGTGCCTGGAGCAATGTCACTATCACGACAGATGGATGTCAAGCTCTGGGAGAGGAGAGACACTCACCACCATCTTTGGCCAGCTAACAGGTGAAACCACCACGTGTGACTCTCGAGATGGAAGTCCTGTACAAGAAAATGTAGACCACCGTCCGGGACGAAGTCAGGAAACCCCAGAAGACTCAATCCCAGGGCGGCGGGAACCATCCTCTGCGACATTGTGTTCAGGATTTTCCGGTTGCGACATTCCTGCCGTAGGCATTCTATCCCGTAAGTGGTGTTGGTTGCAAGAAAGCCTGCTCTGACTCCCTTCACTCTGCGTCGAGGCTTTCGACGCCTTGCTTCCAAATAGTGCATATTGCAGCAGAAGACGATCATCGGCGACAGAGCTATCACACTTTGACAGCACCACACATCCCTAACCTCCATGAGGCAGGCTACCATATATAGGTTGATGCCCAGGAAAAGGGCAGCAATGGACAAGTAGATTGTGAGAGACTTTTGGTACTTGTGTTCTGCGCAGAGCAACGCACATGTCGAACAAGACAGGACGACTGCCTCTAATCTTTCGGCACCACCTGACCACGGGGTTAGTGATTTTCTTTGGAAATGAAGGGATTTCATCAGTCTTCCAGAGCCTTGTGTATACGTACCATTCGAGGAAGAGGGCCAGAATAGACTCGCGAGACTGACAAATAGATGCCCGATGAAAGCAGCAAGAAATACTCCAGGATGACCATTGGAAAGACAATTTGATAGCCCCTTGCATGCGACGTATGCGCAGCACAGATCTGCCAAACAGTTCGGCCTCTCACTCCAATGCATACTTGAGGGATCTTTTCTTCGAAGTCGTGGCCATATACGGACTATAAGTCCACAGTGGAAAGGGATTCAGAAGATCGCTTGCGATACATCCGTCGCCTGGTGTCGTTCACGGTGCAGGCCTGAGCCACAAAGCTCACATTGAATCGGTCCTAGCGCTCTGAATCATGGTTGTTTCAGGGCATTCCTAATGACCCGAGGGATCCGTCTTTTCCGGCGAGTACTACCTAGCCTGAGGAGGAAGGTGCACGTGATGCCTCTCCGCTTGAGATGACTTATCATTTTCTCGGTACTGTACCGAGTATGAAGCGCCATACCAGATCTAACCAAATACAATCACGTGGCTGGGCGTATCGTTCCGATACGCGTCGACGCGAACATGTCTTGGCGCGGGTCAAACGTCACCGAGGTTCTGGTTGGAAGCCCATTTCGTGAGCAAGATTTACTCATGTATTACGTTCGATTTCTACTTGCAAGAAACTCTCTCGGTGCAAAAGGACGTCGAAGAACAGTATGAGGCCGTGTGAGAACCACCTGTTAGTAGTTTCGCTGCTATTACTATTACCGAGTACTGTTTGACTAGACGCTACCAAGCGAGATGAACGACAACCGTCATAGAAAAATGAACCCTGATAATCACATACAGAAACCTTCATTCGCTCAATTAGGTGCCCTAGCCCCTCCAAAAGGGTATGAGGCCCTGTTTTCTGATTTTCACGGCATCTGCACCTCAATTTGCTTGGCCATGAAGCTTATGCCTGACCGACGGGCTCAACCCCTTCCGGGCCAGTAGTGTCCTGTACACCATCTGTTGTTTCCACAGATTGACGGGTCTTTTCTAGGAGCATCGAGTGACGGACGTCCCGTTCACTTCTGTATATCAAGACCTGAACAATCGTGGAGAAGACGCAAAAAGAGCTAGGACCTCGCGACATTAGCAGTGCTTCCAATTGCGGAGAGCAAACCACACGTACACAGCAATAATGCACCAAGACTCAAGCGCGTACTTCAGCGAGCATTTTCTGACTCCTGGTGGCGAGACGCTGGAGCAAGGGTGTCGGTTGTAGTCTTCCGCGGCAAAAATGAATGCGGTCACCCACAGATGGGAGTAGATGTAGTCCAAGGGGATGAGTTGAACTGTGAAGCGTTTGTGAAATGCCAGGGGGATGGTGGGCAAGAAGAAACCGATGCAGGTGCAAGCAATGATCTCTTGATATGTTGTATGTAAATCCCTCGAATAATCGTGAATAAAGTAAGATACAATAGCCATCACAATGCAGGCGCTCGCCCATTTGATGAAGTTGACCATGAAAAGAACGATGCGCAGTCGGGTGAAGGAGGTGTTGGACAGCCCAGAGTTATCGGCTCGGGGCAGTCTCAGGCTGCGACGAAACTTCATGTTGCAAACTGGAATTCTCAATTGCTTGAAGCAAGTTCGAAGTGATTTCCAAGCCCGTCTCTACAATGTCGGGAGATTTTATATATTCCATCCTCGGTTTGTAACCTCCCATGCCCGTCAATCGGCAGCAGTGGAAGAGACGGATGATAGACAGACCTTCCTCAAGTCGGTGCATTGTATCACAAGACCTGTCTGTATTCCGGCTGTGGACTGATGTGTCGATTATTTGATCAATCTATACATGCTTAGCGATATATCATTGCATAGGTGATGCAGATCACTGAGGGGAGCAGCGGCTGCGACGGATTAATGCAGCGACGTTCCACATTCGACAACCATTCTCCCGAATAAGCGGCGAGTTGTAAACCCATCTTATGCTCACATATACATCCCGTCACTGCAGTCATTCCACCTTTTCCCCAGGCCCTAGAATTGTAGTGCGTGGTCTCAACCCCGGCGAAGGAGTAACAGAGTGATTCTGTCGACCTCCGCCAACCCCGGGGCCAGCTTTCTTACAGTAGACAAGATCCAACACTTCTCCTCCATTGCAAACGTGGAGCGGGTACTGATTCCGCAAATATTTCCAAAATTGTTCACATTCCTGCTAAGAAGTATAAGCTGGAGGTGGAGTATCTTAGACCGAGTCATGGCGAAGACTTCTATTGAGGAATTACAATGTTGTTGCTCATTGAACACGACGAAGCCTAGTCCACCTGATACAGCACTTGAAGAACACTGAGGTTAAATTTGCCTCCAGGTTAAAGCACAGAGACCTCCCAATTCTCCCCAGCGCTTGGTATCCTAGCAGCTTCGTTGAACGTATATTCATCTCTTCACGTCTCGACCCATCTGGGCTTGTACCCCCATAAAAATCATGGAACCAAAGGTGTACATCAATAATATGCCTCATCATCAAATCCTTGAATCTGAGAAGAGCGTTTAGAAGCTCCAGGCCCGCCCATACCTAGATTTCCCATGCCAGTCGCCAATGAACCGTTCCCGCTCGTATCCATATTCATTCCTAACTGTAAGCTCATGCCTGGTCTCATTAAACCGTTCATTCCATTCGTTCCGTTCGTGGGAAAGCCATCAATATCCGTGTCGGTAGTGGTTGGATACCTGTCTCCGGTAAGTCCAAATCCGTATCCGGCCTGGCTTGTCACGACGCCCGGGTTGGTTCCTCCGTCTCCTCCCCCCGAATCATACGAGTACTGCAGTCCATTGTAAGACGGTGAGTTACCATTCGTATTCGCGTTTGTACTGCTGCCCGTTTCTGGTGTGTCAAAGAAGCTCAGATCTAGGGTTCCCCAATCTGGCGGCTCAGACCCCCAGTTTTCGAAACCCACGGCCAATTGGTTCTGATCCTTAAAGAACCAGTCTTGTGTCTCCTCAATCAGACTTTCAACTCCACCAAACAATCTGGCGGCATTCTGGTCGCCAGCAGTCCCTGCTTGGTTAGAGGATGTCGCAGCTGCGTTGGCTGCGATTCGAGCTTGGTGTGCATTCCATGCATCTTGTTGTGCTTTGGTAAGGTAAGTTGAAGCCCGAATACGACGAGAGTCTCGAGAAAGCTCGGCTGTGGACTGTGGTGGCATGGACGGTGCTCCGGATGTTCGTCTGGAGTCAATCGCCTCTGTGGGTGAGGCAGCCATGGGCGCGGAATATCCGCCTGCATACTGTGACATTGAAGTCCCACGCTGAGCTTGCGACTGCTGTTGCCTTTGAACATTGATCGCCATCAAGTCAGGCACTGGCTGTGACACAATTTGCTGTGCCATGTTTGCCAGAGACTCGGGCGACACCGGTGAAGGTGCACTCGCTGCGAGACCCCATTTCGCCCGAAGCCTTGTATAAACCATTTCCGCCTCCTCGGGCATTTCAATACTCCACCTGTCGGCACATAGATGCAAAACTCTGAGCGTTCGCCGGGCGGCTGTCCAACATTCCCCCATTTCCTCCAGATGTTTGACGCCGTGGATGATATCTCTGCGAGCGTTTTTGTCTGGTAGATTCAACAAATGAATCGTACAGGCTGAATGTACAATATAGATTGCAATGTTACATATTTGTCGAAGACCATGTGTTCGCTTGTACAGTCGAAAAAGCTTAGAAATTGCTGTGGCTCCCTGAGTACAGTACTTTCTCGGGGATACGTGTGCTGGAAGTGGTGAGGTCGTTCGGGTGTACTTCAGGAACGGTCGATATAGATGAAGATACAAGAGTTGGTAAAACATACTGTCTTTAGTCAGTACGCCTCTTGAGGCTTATGGAACTTCAGAGACATACTGCATCAGCAGGACCTGGGGGAGCTGACCCTCCCTCGGTTCCAGTTCAGGCGGCAACCCTTGCTTCCACGCTTCCAATCTAGTATGTAGATCGCTTAGTCGTTTGAGTTCGGTTTGTCTTGGAGGAGGTTTATCGAGCATCTGCGGATTATAGAAGGATGTCAGGAGATCGCTGGAAATCTCGGCCAGTTTAGACAGTTGCAATGCAACAGCTCTGGTACGCGCCGGTTGCGCATGGGCCTGAATGATGCCCGAGTCTGTATACGGCGACCACATTTCACTGTCTTCCGATGGGAACACGTCGGGCTTCTTCATGGTGATGTTTGGCGTTAAAAGTTGAGGTTGCCGCCCCAGGTAGTTAGACCAGCACCTGATACCAGTTAGCAAAAGTGTGTTGTTGAAGCAAAGATTCTCACTTGTCAAAGAGGAAACAACCCCAGAAGGTTATCCGCCTCGCATCAATGTCCTCATCTGTCAAGCGTGACATTTCATTGATAGGCACCGTATCCACGTTCAATCCGAGATCACAAGCCATTCGAAAACTCATGCCACTGTATACCCATCCCTTGCTTTCATGACCGCATCCGGCTTCTCTAACGGACATCAAAGCCAGAGCCTGGACTGTACATAGTTTCGCGTTGGCAAACTCGTCGTTCTCGTACAGGAGCCTTTTAGCTTCTGCAAAGAAGTGGTCACCAGTGGTCCCAGAATCCGCTGGATCTGCTCTTGCTTCAGGCCGAGATGAGAAGTGGCAACCGAGCGCTAGCATAACATTGACAAGGAGAGGTGAGCAGTACTGTGAGGATGTCCCGGTGAGGAAATCTCGATAGAAAAGTTCCTTAGCCAAGGTCGTGAAAAAGGCGTAGTGCCAGCAAAAGTACATGTTCATAAAATGGAGAATTGCCTCTTTGTCTTGGGTGACAATCGTCCATGAAAGAACAGCCTCTTCGTGAGGTCGCACCACGACCCGCTGGTAAGTTGGTGAGCTGTGTGTGCCTCGATGTTCATATTCCTCAGGAAGCCAGATCAAATTCGACGTTCCCCCAATGAATTTGACAGACCCGTCTAGCATCAGATCGCCCATCTTCCCAGAAAGTTCGGCTTCAAATTTCGGTACGCCGGATTCGGCCTCATACATTGGAGAGTCATCGTGTCCCTCCATCAGGCCTTTCTCTTGAGCGTCTATGGTAACCGCAAGTTCTTCTAGGTTGTCGCATGTCCGTATCTGCCGGACTAGATCCATGACATCCTCCTCCTCAGCATTCAGGATAGCCTGTATGAGGATCTGGAGAGTGGAATTCTTGGTCTTGGAGGCATCAACATCCTTTTTGTAAACCCCTTTGCGCCGATGGTCGGTGTGTGGCGCATATTCACATTCAGTCAAGTAGACCGATGCGCAAGCAGCGCATTTGGGCAAATTGCCATCACACTTGCTCTTCCTTTTACGGCAGGCAATGCAAGCCGTGCTCACACATCGCCTTTTCGTAGCGGCGCCTCCAGAATCCTTATCCTTGCTCTTGTTCTTGCCTTTAGCCGATGGCTGCGCCGAAACGTCTGTGTGCTCCAATATATCCTCTAGGGGACTCGGATGTTGAACTTGCTCCGCTTTGATATCCCCTTCCATCATTATCGTTATCGGGGAATAGTTGTTTCATCTATCGGTCGTTATCGCGACATGTGGGCTAGTGGTGTGTAGCCATCGCAGGAGCATTCTCCACTAGTGAACAGGTTCTGCAGGATGAATGAGGCCCAAGTTCAGACGCTGAGAGCATGGGCTGATGCGCTCCGCGGCTTTTTGCTTCATGGAAAGAATAGTTCGATTAGGTCAAAAGCTTTGGGATTGTCGCGCAGCGGGGTGAAGGTCTGTGCTGATAAACGTTTGAGGGAGGGTTAGGGCCGGTTGGGTTGGAATTGCAAAGGTTCAAGAGGTATGTGAAACTGCTGGACGGGAAAGGTCAGTATCCTAGAACGACTGTGACTCAATGTAAACGAGATGCAATGAGAATTTGGATGAGGCACATGAGGCTACCGAGAGGAGAGGATCTGACGAGAGTGGGCATCCCCCACTTAGCCATCATGTAGGGTCGTACAGGGGCTGCACAAGGCTTGTCTGATTAATAAGTCTGGGAGCACAGAAAACATGGAGTAGCAACTACGGAGTACCTCAGACTTCCCCCGGGGCGTCCTGAACCTAGCAGTCTAGGCAAGTACTCAAGTAGGCACTTGGCTCTGCTGGATAAACGGCATATCGGCTTCTCCGCCACCTCCCGCGGACCGGGATTCAACCAGCGGATACTGGACTTCTCAAGGAGAAAATTCTTCTCATCGGCAACTCGATACAAGTAGAACTCTTGCCGCAATATCTTCGGTGTGGAGTCCCCCGGCAAGCAGCGGCAGCCTCTGCAGATCTCAATGCACGAACAGGATATGGATCCAACCAGCTGTAGAACCGCAGGGTCGAAATTTGGCTGAGCCTTGACCCTGATACGGTATGGGTAGGCACGACTTCATCAAATTGTGAAAGTAGTCTCAAATAGACCCAATATCTTATTTAACTAGGTAGAGATCAACTTTGGAGTGGAACCTCGTCTCCCACAACTAGACAGAACATTAGAAGGCTGAGACAGTTGGCGAAAACGTGACCCGACAAGGCTGCGTCACGTGACGACCAAAAACTTCTGGCGCAACTTCGCAGCTATTATTTTACGCGTGAACTCCAACTTCGCAATGATTTAGTACATGTTCTGTCCTTCTTCCATCATTCACAAAGTGAAGTGGTTGGTCAGCATCTAGCCGGTCTTGATACCAGTTGCCCAGTTCAATTGATGCAGCACACATCGGCATCGCGCAGTCTGCTGGGGCTCGCGAGAAGATTCAACCAGCTAAATGTCGCCGATCCCTTGACAGTACGAAATCCTCCCCAATTGTGCTGTAGTGGCTGTTGTTAACTCGTGTATAGCAATGCCTGGCACCGAGGCTAGGTTGTCGAACAATCGCTTCTCAAACTCAGCCACCTGTTTCCACCCTCACAACGGACTCTGTAACAAGTCGTGATTCGTTTCACCTAGGAAATCTCTCCATTGTAACCTCGCCCACTCCCGGCTTGTCGACCTCTCCGTCCTCCGCCGAGCTCCATGCTCTAGACCATCCGGTACTAGCGACCCTGTATTCGTGGCCTCACATCGAACCTGCTCGTTATGCTCTGTACGGCTCACGATACCTTGACGCTCCTTTGCGCAGAGACCTTCTTCATCGCGCTGTCATCTATGAAGCGGACGCGACACGCCAGGGAACGGCGAGCACAAAATGGCGTTTTGAAGTCCATGGGTCCAATCGCAAGCTGTACCAGCAGAAAGGTACAGGCCGTGCTCGTGTGAGGGACAAGAAGTCCCCGATCAGAAGAGGAGGTGGTGTCGCCTTTGGTCCAAAGCCCAGAGATTTCTCGTCCGAGTTACAGAAGAAAGTCTACCACCAGGCCTTTCGAATCGCGCTAAGTTACCGTTTCAGGAGGAACGAGCTGATCATTCTCAATGACAAGATCAATCTGCCAACGGGAAACGGCGCACGGTTTCTCAATAACATTTTCGAGGCCAATTGCTGGGGCCAGGGGTACGGCCGCAGCCTCCTCGTCACAAGTACGCCTGAATCAAGTGGAGCACGAATCTTTGAAGAGATGGAAACGATTGGCGAGCATGGAGATCTGAAAGACATCGAGGACGTGGATGTCAAGGACCTCCTCACCAGCGGGCGGGTAGTGATTGAGAGATCTGCCCTGCTCAGTTTGCTGTGTAAGGAACAGACATTCAAGGAGAACGGAACAGTGTTCACGTATGAGAAAGCGTTGAAGGATGTGAAGCTTGCGAATAAGCTTCAGGTGCCTGAGAAGGTTGTACAGTATTTGTGAGAATAGTCCTTCAATCTATGTAGGCCTCAGGCGCAAACTGGGATGTATTTCTCGACCTCTGTTTCTATTCTACCCTCGATGGCAATGTGTCCTCAATGCCGGTGAGACGACTCGCTGTTCAGCTATTATGAAACAGAAATCCAGAAGCATAACACGAGTTTACGTAGTCAACATCATAAGGACTGGTCATCCACACTGAAGTATTACTCCAATCTCTTCGATATGTACGACAGTTAGAACAGCCATGCTGCTTTTGCTGAGAACTGGATTGGTTCTATTGAGACCAATGAATGTCCAGGCCGCTACCCGTTTGACAAAGCAGCGCCACTAGACCCCTAGCGTAGATGGAGCCCCCGCTGTGGACCTATCCGATCTTGGCTCGAATTTTCTTTGTCCAGTGTTGCAAAATGTGGTGGCCCTCTGAGATACTTGTCTAGGTTGTGCACTCTGGTCCTAAATTTCTGGGGCCAACATTGACGAAGGCGCTACGAGTGAGTCTCTAGACGGTCATCCGCCATGGCGATCCAAAAAAAGCACGGCAAAGGACGGCTTGGTATGTGTTCCACCATCGATCTGGCAATACTGCGCGGGAAAAAGTGGCTGACTCCCTCTCTCAGACAAATGGTACAAACTCGCCAAAGAAAAAGGCTACCGGGCACGAGCGGCGTTCAAGTTGATCCAGCTGAACAAGAAATATGGGTTCCTGGAGAAGAGTCGGGTGCTGCTGGATCTGTGCGCCGCACCGGGATCTTGGTGTCAAGTCGCAGCAGAGACAATGCCTGCGCAGAGCCTGATTGTCGGTGTGGATCTGGCTCCCATTAAACCCATACCTCGAGTCATCTCCTTTCAGAGCGATATCACCACGGACAAATGTCGAGCGACTATTCGGCAGCACCTAAAACATATGAAGGCCGACACAGTGCTGCATGATGGGGCACCCAACGTTGGTGTGGCCTGGGTACAAGACGCTTTCTCGCAGGCGGAGTTAGTTCTGCAGTCAATGAAATTGGCGACAGAATTTCTGAAAGAAGGAGGCACATTTGTCACAAAGGTGTTTCGGTCCAAGGACTACAACGCGCTGCTTTGGGTGTTCAAACAGCTGTTCACATCGGTCGAGGCTACAAAACCACCTTCGTCCAGGAACGTGTCTGCGGAAATCTTCGTGGTATGCAGAGGTTTCAAGGCACCAAAGAGACTGGATCCCAAGTTTTTGGACCCGAAACATGTTTTTGCGGAGGTGCAGGAGCCCACACCGAACAACGAAGCCAAAGTCTTCAACCCCGAAAAGAAGAAAAGGAAAAGAGAAGGTTATGAAGAAGGCGACTGGACACAACATAAAGAAGTCCCTGTCACCGATTTCATCCACACGACAGACCCGATTGCGATTTTAGGCTCCATGAACAAACTAAGTTTCGAGCAGCCACCCAACGGCGATCTCGCATTAGCTACAATAAGTCGACTTCCCGAGACGACAGCCGAAATCAGACAATGCTGCGCAGACTTGAAGGTGCTAGGAAAGAAAGAGTTCCGGACGTTACTTCGGTGGCGGCTGAAAGTCCGCGACCAGTTTGGCTTGTCGAGTAAAGCTAGAAAACAAGAGCAGGAAATACAGACCCAAGAGCAGGACGGAGAAGAGGTGGCACAGGTCGAGTCGATGGACGAAGAACTCAAACTTCAAGAAGAGCTGCAGAAATTGAAGGATCGAGACAGCAAGGAGAAGAGGAAAGAACGACGCAAAGAGAACGAGAGGAAGCGAAAAGAGATTGTCCGGATGCAGATGCACATGACTGCGCCGTTTGACATTGGATTGGAGCAGAGTGCCCCTGGGGCGGATGGGACCATGTTCAGCATCCAAACAGCTGACAAGGTTCGGGGCTCTGGCGAGATTGGCAATAACGACATGGAGGACGAGGAGGACTCTGGGTCGGGAGACTCAGAGCTTGGCTCCGAGAGTGATGATGACGACGCTGGTGACAGGCTCGAAAGGGAACTAGACTTCATGTACGAATCCTATCAGCAAAGGCGGGAGGAAGCGGACGCCAAAGCACGAGCAAAGCGAGCGAGAAGAGAAAAGGAAACCGATGAATGGGAAGGTCTATCCGATGACGACGCCACATCTGCCGATGGAGTCACTGACGCCGACTATGATGACGAAGAGGACGGCTACCCCATGAAACAAATCCCGAAAAGTGATGGTCTTTCAGCCAAGGCGGCCATGTTTTTCGACCAAGACATTTTCCAGGATTTGGGCATTGACGATGAACAAGAAGACCTGGACAAGGACAGTGCAATTGAGATGGACGACGACTCGTCAGACCACGCAGAGCGGACAGCCGCGAAGGCCCGTACATCAAAAGAGCAGCAAGACAAGTCCCTCAAGCCAGCATTGAACAAACAACGACCGTCGTCTCAATCCGCAGATGATGAATCCGAATCCGAGGCTGAGGCTACGATTAAACCATCTACCTCTTCCACTACAAAGCCTCCGCGACCCGAAGACCCATTGACACCATCCGGCCATTTGGACGTCGACATCATCACCGCGGAAGCCATGACGCTTGCACACTCCCTCGCAACTAAGGAAACCACAGCCAAAGACCTGATCGACGACAATTTCAACAAATACACCTTCCGCGATACTGACGGTCTCCCCGACTGGTTCTTGGACGACGAAGACCGACATTCTCGCCCCATTAGACCGATCACGAAGGCCGCCGCGGCGGCAATCAAGGAAAAGCTGCGCGCGTTGAATGCCCGGCCCATCAAGAAGGTCCTAGAGGCCAAAGGGCGGAAGAAGATGAAAGCAGCTCAGCGGCTGGAGAAGCTTCGCAAGAAATCCGCACTGTTACTAGAAGACGAGGGCGTGAGCGAAAAGGACAAGGCCTCGACTATTTCGAGGATGATGGCCCGCGCGGCCAAGAAGGGGAGACCAAAGGAGAAGGTTAAGCTGGTGGTCGCGAGAGGTGCGAATCGCGGCGTCGCTGGACGGCCGAGGGGCGTCAAGGGCAAATACAAGATTGTGGACGCCCGGTTGAAGAAGGACGTGAGGGCCGAGAAGAGGCTCAAGAAGAAGTTGAAGAAGTAGGGACCTCCGTCTAGCTATACATCCATAGCACTTATAGACGACAACGGAAGCCACGCTTTGGTCAACTTCTTGTTGATTGATTTGACGACCTGTTTTGACAGTTTTATTTGCGATGCCCATCGCGTTCCTTCTTATACCATAGTCTCTATCCCCATAGGATTGGGATTGCGCCGGCCAGAAAAGGAACCAAAACTGTTCCATAATCTGCGGGTTTTATTGATAGTACATTACCAGCCTTTTTGCTCCGAGTCTCCTTCGCCACCATCCAGCCATGGACTCTTTAATTGACAACCAAGGTCCGCGTCTTGTTTCAAAACAAGTGGTAAGTCATCCGTAGTAGTTGTGACCTGCCGCGACCTTCGCAAACGGCATCAAGCTGGTAGAGCAATCAGAGTGTTGTGCTCTGTAGAGTTACTGGGCATTGCCATCAGCGGTGATCCTGCTCTCCCCACACCAGATGACTAGTGAGTCGAAATGCAGAGGGGGATACTCTCTGCGGAACGTGACTCTCAATTGGGGAATGAAGTCTCCGTCATTCTCCTGAGGGCGTCTCTGTCCATGGTTGTTCACCATCCTCCGATACCCCAGCGACCTTCGTCCTCTTCACCCTCATCAAATTTGTCCAACTCACTGCCATCACCAGAATAGCCAATGAAGTCCCGATTGTCGTCAATCAAGCGTCCATACTCCAGAAGTAACCTGAACATGTATACCTCGATATCCTCCCGCCTAAGCACCTTGTTTGCCCACTCGCGACCCTGCCGAGCGAGTGTCTGTGCCTCCCTATCATGCCGAGCAATGAAGACCCGCGGATTCAAGTCTTCGCCTTCCTCGGCATGTTGTTTGTAAGGTTTGCCATATCCAATAAAATATGTCAGGAGTCCGTAGATGTCGTCGTATCGGTTGTCCACGGGAACAAAATGGCGCCATGCTAGAAGTCGACTGTCGTGCCACTCACGGAAGATGGTTGCTTTGAGTCCGAGACTCTTGCTTTGCAGGAATGCGTGCCAACGCCCGGAGAATGAATGCCCGTCGACGTCGATCAAGTATCTCGATTTAAATTGTGAAGTAAGCGGGACTTGTGGCTTCCAAGAGAACACGCTGTTGTAGAAAGAACAATTAGGGAGACAGGACATAGGCTCCGTGAATCCGATATCGCTATGGCGGTCGGCAAATTCTGAAGGCTTGAACCGATCATAAAGCTCATAAGTAGTGTTCACTTTGCCCGGTCCGTCGTCTTTTTCGGTCAGAGTTTTGACCTCTTTGCCAGTCATTTGCATGTACGTGCCGTTGAAAAGCTGAACAAGTCTCTGTCGGTGCATTCTGTCCCAATTATCCTCGAGCTGGACACCGCCAGAAGTGACGCCACGCCAGATGGTATTATCTTGCTTATCGCGCCAATCGACGTCTTCCTCCCCATTGTAATCATATCGCACATCATGCTGATAGTACATGTTTGCTGGAAAGAGAATATCGTTATTGACACTGACTTTACATTCGCCGAAGATGGGCACCAGCTTGTGGGAGGCAATGACGCTGCTTGCTGAATACAGCATACCGTGCAAATCCTGGATAGTGGGACCCACCGTGCACAGATCGGTTGAGAGGTTGAAGTTCTTCACAAACCCGAGCTTGGGCTCTTTGTACAAAGCATCCGCCTCGGCGACAGACATCTTTGCCCGTGCCGGGGACTCTGGGGGGCAGCCTTTGGCGGCAAGATTCATGTACTGCTTGCCAGGAGCAAATATCCAGTCCTCACTGAGTCTTGTGGAGTGGTCGAGTTCCTTGTCTTCGATGCTCATATCCAGGAGCTCTGGTAGATCCTTCGTAAAGCTGTCGGTGACTTCGGGTGCCATAACACGTGTGTGGTACTCCTTTCGTAGAAACTCTTGCATATCCTCCCAAGGAACGATCAGACGCGGTTGATCCAATCTGTTCATGGGGATGTCCATGTCGGGAAGGAATTTGATACACTTCTCGATGACTTTCTCCATGGTTTCGGACCTCCAACTCGGGTTGTCCACCCTGACCACCTTGTGATTGCGGATATGAAGGACGGATACTCCAAAGTCAGGATTTTCCCACATATGGGCAGCGTGGCTCCGGATCACAGACGCATTGATGGCCCAGAAGGGCCGCAAGTCGTCCATAATTTGGTTAAAATCATCAATGTTGAATACGTTCCTCTTTCGTGCGAACTTATACCAGTCTTTAAATCCCGGCGGAGGATGTCTGCCATATTTGCTTCTATATTTTTCCACTGTCTGCCTAAATGTTGTCGAGATATCGGTCTCGTAAGTCCGCCATTCAGTATCGGCTTCCCGCATCAACTGCGCAATGGGGTGTAAGTCGAAGTGCTCCACAGGTTGCGATTGGGGAGGTGTCGGTTTCTCGCTATCGGTTTCATGTTCGGGTTCATGCTCAGGCTCGGGTGGAGGAGATGGATCGGGACCTAGGTCCCATATCGTGTCTGGATCGGGCGCTGGAGGGGGAAGTTTGTGCTCGGTTGGGTTCAAATGGCCTGGGATGGGGATGTGGGAAGCAACTTCTCGAAAGTTGTCACCAGAGGGTGAAAGGCCATGAAAGACGATGTAGAAGGCGATGATGCTGGCGATGAGCAGGATGATGCGTCGCTTGTTAAACTCGATGGGGCCCATTGTTCCAGAGGCTGGGGTAGTTGACGGGAAACATATACTACCAGAGGGTCTCAGAGTCTCCCTACGTGGTCATAACTGTTGGATAAGGGACAATATAGACGATGCAAGTCCAATGCAGTAATTATGCCACCCGGCAGCGAGAGTCTAATTGACTCATTGTTGAAGTTGAACTCCGGTGATGGATTCTTCAGGAGGTGATACAGGGACCTGCTGCGCAGTTTGGCAAGTTGCAGGTTACATGGTGCAGGGGGGATTCGCATGTGGCGGATGAGAATTTCTAGAGGCGATTCCCATTGGCGGACTGGAGGGAATAATCACACCAACCATGACTGGGGGTGACTGGGGCCGCAGTTTGTCACTCTGGCCACCAAGGCTGCGCTCCTTTTAACCAAGTCTTACTTCTGCCGCTTCTCTACAGCCCTCCTCGGCACAGTAGGGAAACTGAGGTGAGTTGAGATGAAATACGAGCCACCGACCAGTCTCATCGTCTTGCCTTACCAAGCTCCAGGCACATATGCACGGTCCCCCATGGCGCCACATTGATTACGGAGACTGTCCAGCTGCGATGACTATGAACTCCGGGCTCAAAGCTCAATTGTCTCCTACACCTTGTCCGCCTAGATACCCTCCAACATCACACATGGCGATACCTTGTTGTCGAACCGACTCCACTGGATCTCGCTTCACGCCTCTGTTGCTATAGGCCTAACAAGCACCGCACCGCGAGTACCACCATCTTTGCAGGTTTGCCAAGGCAAAATGAAATAGGGGGATCAGCCTTGCTAACCACTGCCTGGTTCGACATGGACAATTTGCTCATTGCCTGGAGAGATGCAGGTAGAGATAAGGAAGCATCTTCTTGGTAGGGAAGTTTGGATGACTGGACAGCCGATAAGGTCCGGAGAGGCTCTACCAGAAAACAGTGTCTCCCCGCTACATCGTCCCCAAGTCACTCAAAAAGTCAAACTCGGTCATGGTTGCTCTCCCGTGGCGAACAGGACATACTCTCCATCAACAACGGACGCGGCAAACTGCCGACAAGTGGACGAAGTATCGTCTGGTCTGCTATTCCCGTATCCTCGGATAAAACTAAGCCTTGGTGGCCTCGCCCCCGCATTTCCATCCCCAGTCTTGCAGACACGACCATGATTGGCCTTTGGATGATGACCATCCGTGCTATGTCAGGGTAGCGATGGCTGTCCCTGCAGACGGACGTCAGGTGCACGATGTCAACAGTCCCGACTAGCTAAGCCAGGCGATACGAGTATGCTGTTGCTAACAAGCATTTCAGTGTCACGATACAGAGGTATTAATGTTAGTTGATGCCAGTTCTACCTATCTCACTCTGTCATTATAGTCGCCCAGGTGAAAGTTCTGCCTTCGCTCAATGTCGACCATGGATGTCCTTACACTTCTGCAGTCTCCACAAAGCTACCTGTGGGCGGTACTGTTGGGTGTCACCCTCCATTTGACACTGTTACGTTATGGCGAATGGGACTCATCTGCACCATCTTTGATCTCGGCCTTTTTCACCACGCAGTTGCTTCTCCTTGGGTTCTTGACTGCATATACACCATCATGGACAGCAGTCCTCCTTGCAGTGCTCCATGTGTCGGCGCTAGGCATGTGCGTTCTAGTAGGCACGTTTACTAGCATCTTGATATATCGTGGATTCTTCCACCGGCTCTCTAGGTTTCCGGGCCCCTTCTTGGCACGGCTGTCTACCATATACCCAACATCACTTTCCGTTAGGTCCAAATTACATCTTTATGAAGAGGTCCAAGCCTTGCACAGACAGTATGGAGATTTTGTGAGACTTGGTAGACCCTCGCCTCCCACGAGTCGAAAGGAAATTCGGACGCTGACCTTTGACCAGGACCCATGGAGTTGTCTATTGCAGATCCTCGGGCGATTCAAGCAGTAAACTCGGCGCAGACTCCCTGCACGAAGGGACCCTGGTATAATGGAATGCGACCACGGGTGGCTCTGCAGAACAGCCGAGACAAGCAAGAGCATTCTCACCGGAGGAAAGTTTGGGATCGAGGCTTTGGTGCCAAAAGTAACCTCCACCTGGGTCTCCTCAAGGAAGCCTCGTTCATTGAAGTCTAATGTGCTGAATCCTCAGGTCTTCGCGATTATGAACCCCGGGTCGTCTCATACACCACGGGACTGATGACTGCTATCGAGTCGCAAAAGGGCACACCATTAAATGTCACCGACTGGTTCAACTTTTACAGCTTTGATGTTATGGGCGACCTAGCATTTGGAAAATCTTTCGATATGGTCAAGAATGGCGTCAAGCACTACTTTATGAACTCTCTCAAGACAAATATGACCATGGCAGGCTACTTTAAACACGTTGTATGGGTCGCTCCAATCTTCAGGTCCATACCGATCCTTAATTTCGAGCATAAGAGATTCTGGAACTTCGTCAATAGCCAAGTGGACGAGAGGATGAAGGTGGGTTTCAATCGAGTAACAAGCGAAAGTCCCTCTCTCTGACTAATGCCCTCCAGATGAAGCCTGACAAGCCGGATGTATTCTCTTATCTGCTTGAGGAATATGAAAAGCAAGACCCGAAGACGGCCCAGAGCCTGCTGAATCTTCAGGCAGATGCCTATTTGATTGTCGTTGCTGGGAGGTAATAAATATCCTCCTCCTCCTCCTCCTCCTCCTCCTCCTCCTGAAGTGCCGATCGTTGTTTTCCTGAAGACTACATCTGACAGCATCTTCCAGCGATACCACCGCCGCAACTCTGACGACGCTCTTCTTTCATCTGGCAACAGAACCCCATTTATTGACTAAGCTCCGGGAGCACGTGGATCCTCTATTTGAGTCCAACGAGGTTGATGCTGGAGCACTCTCGAGGAGCAAGCACTTGGATGCTTTCATCAATGAGACATTACGTCTTCATCCTCCCGTACCTTCAGGAGTCCAGCGATTGACACCTCCCGAGGGGATGATGATTGGGGACACCTTTGTGCCCGGGAACACGATTGTATATGTCCCCCTATACACTGTGTTCAGAGGTATGTTTCTCTGTTCATTACACTTCTGAGGCCGGAGCAAGTGAATACGTTCTCATTATGGTGCAGACGAACGAAATTTCAGAAGACCAGAGGAATTCCTCCCTGAAAGATGGACCACAAACCCCGAATTGACCGTGAATGCCTCTGTTTTTGTTCCCTTTTCGTCAGGTAAGTCCATGACATTGATTTTGCAGTCCAGCCATCCACGACTTTTCAACGAAAGGAAACATCACGTTGGGCGCAGTGAGCTAACAAAATGCTTTCAACATCAGGCCCATATAGCTGTATTGGCAAACAGCTCGCGTTGATGGAGTTGCGATATGTCACGGCTTACATAGTCCACCGTTACGACTTCGCTCTGGCACAAGGGGAGGATCCAGCCAGGTTCACTCGGGACATGACTGACGGGTTTACTCTAGCCTGTCCGCCTTTGAACCTCGTCTTTACCGAAAGGAAAACGCCTTGAGACTTCTCAGGTCTGGGAAATAGTACCACAATCACGTGTATTGTGAAGGGTCGGCCTCGATGAATTTGCACTGGCTCTGCCATATATTCTGTTTAACCACTCTTGAGTGTAAATAACAGTATGATGCACCAATCCCCTGTCAACCGCGTCAAGGGGATTGACTCACAGCGTCACGGGTTCAGAGCCTTTTACGCATGTACGCATACCAATAGCACTTCCAACCCACTTTTCCCGAGTCAACATGTCTCAGTCAGAGACGCCCCAGAATAGACCTGCTCTCAATCCCTGACAATGGGCTGCCTGTCTAATAGTGTACGTGCCTCGGCCTCGGTAGCTGGTGATATTGAGCATTGGAACCCCGCAAACTCCCATGCATGGGTGATGGAATCGAGCGCTTTGCAACGTCGTAACCGCGACCCCGCCTGACTCCGGGGTTGGATTCGCGTGGGAGCGAGCGATATGTAAAAGTTGCCGAGAATCCTCTTTCGAGGTAGCACCGGGTAGGGACCTTTGTTCTCGCAGTCATGGTTGCCGCACAGTTCGAACTCTCGCCAAAGTGGCTCTCAAAGGCCCTGGGCTTCGACGTGGTCGGGGCCAGGCCTGTCCGGATCGGAACTGGCCAAATCGGCGAGGTATATCGCATCGAGCTCGAGTATGGCGTAAAGACGCGAGCAGGACCGGCTTCGGTGGTGGCGAAAATGGCATCCCTCGACGCGGACTGCAAGGCTTTCGGGCTCAGTTCTGGTCTGTACCAGCGAGAAGTCCGGTTCTACCAAGAGGTGGCCCCGCTGATGACGACGGGGCCCATCCCGACTGTTTATCGGGTAGAAAGGGACGAAGAGTCCGGGGAGTTTGTCATCCTGATGAGTGACAATGCTGGGAGAGTGGGCAGCGACATCAGCGGAGCAACGCTTGAGGAGGCCAGCTTGGCCATGTCGGAGCTGGGAAGACTCCACGGGTTGATCTTGAACCATGTGTCTGTGGAGAAGCACGGCTGGATGAGGAGGACAAGACCATGGGCGCCGACCGAGAATATGGTCGAGTATTGGAAACGGTTTAAGGAGCGATACGGAGATCGCATCAAGCCAGAACACCGCGAAATCGGCCAGAAATTCATCGACAGCTTCGAGGTGTACCATGCCGCCCTGGATGCCTCTTCCGCCCCTACGGGGCTCGTCCATGGAGACTACCGACTCGACAATATCCTGTTCGGAGACAGCAGAGGCATGCCGTTGACCCTGGTGGACTGGCAGACGTGCTATTGGGGACCTATTCTTCACGACCCATCGTACTTCTTGGGCCTAGCCGTAACGCCCGAGTTTCGCCGTGAGCACGGAGAGGGGCTGTTGAAGATATATCAAGAGGCGCTCTCTGCAAGTTCCCCGTACCCGATCAGTATCCATGAATGCAAGGCGGGGGTCCGAATGCACAGCTTTACAGGAATGCGTCAAGCCATCACGGCGGCTAGTCTGGTTGAGAGGACAACTCGAGGAGACGATCTGTTCCTGACCATGTTCGAACGGAGCTGTGAACACGTCGTCGATACAAAGGCGCTTGAGGTGCTGCCACCACCGGTTCCTGTCCCCCATCTAGAGCCGAAAGAGTTGGACGAAGAGATGCATCCGTTCAGTGACCATCCCCTTCACAACGAGAGCTGGTATTTCGACGTGGTCGACATAGACCAGCAAGTCGGAGTGTGGGTGAGACTCGGGGTCATTCCAAACCAAAGCGGCTCGTGGTACCACGCGTTGATCTGTGGGCCTCACATACCCACAGTAGGAGTCATCGACTTCGAAGCACCACATCCAGCAAAGGACCTGGTTGTTCATGGTAGAGAATACACGGCCACCCATGAAGCCGAAGTGCCTCTCCAGAAATATCGCACCACTGTGAAGGGGAAAGGAGTGGCATTCGACGACCCGGCGGCAATCTTGCAGGGTGGCGACGGGCGACCCGTTGATGTCCAGATGGATCTCTTCTTCGAAACCGACGGACAGCCATATCAGTGGCGCCGAGCCACCAGATATGAGATCCCCTGCAAGGTCACCGGCACCTTCTCGTGGGACGACCATTCATTCACCTTCACCAAGGCTAGAGGCCAGCGGGACCATTCCTGGGGTCCTCGAGACTGGTGGGCCGCCGACTGGGTGTGGACTGCATTCCACCTTGACGACGGTACTCACAGCCACCTCGTGCATGCCAAAGCTCGAGGAGGAGATTATCCCCACCTTGGTGTAGGGTATGTCCAGAAAGAAGGAGAGCCCCTGGTCGAAATGACTGATGTCAAAGCAGCAGCTGAGATGGCAGCCAACGGCTTGGGCGTGTCAACGACCATCACAATGGCTCCTCTGCCACTCACCTTCTATGTGAAACCTATCGGACATGCTCCTCTCTGTCTCATGGCGAAAGACGGGCGAGTTGCCAAATTTCCACGCTCTTGGGCTACAATCACCACTAACGATGGTCGCAAAGGTGTTGGTTGGCTGGAGTGGAACATCAACGAGTGAAGAGGAGTAAGCTCGAGTCTCTGATGAGCGACCTAGGTCGAGAAGCAAGTAGCAGTCTGATATGAATCTTGCTCTTATGTAAAGTATGACATATGCGATACTTTGATCTGGCCATTCCCCCCTCGTCAACGTAAAGCTACTTTTTCGTCTATGCCAGTTCCGTCACACGGCGAGGCTGAGCAAGGCTGAGCCGAGCAAGGGTCATGACATTGACAACTTTGTATTCTTCTTCCCAAATATGAAGTTATTCGTCAAGAGCTCCTCTCTCATAACAACTAACGGTGAGAAATCATGCGCCATTTCAGACCTCTCACTGAATCCATTGCTCCACTTGAATCGCAACAGGGGAAATGTCCGAGTCTTGGCATCTAGCGCTTGGCGGCCGTAAAGGGCAACTATGCCTCAGCAGTCAATGCTAGAGCTTTCACTCCGGCCGCAGAGCATGAAAGATCTTGGAAAGACCAGTTCACTCCGACCAGACAATGCCGCCTCGACTACCCCTGCGGCTCTCGCCGTCGACGGCACTGCACGCGGATGCCGTCAATATAAAATTCGCAAATACAAGCTCCTCCATTCCTGCCTTCCTCCTCCCTTTCCTCCAAACGCAGTCCCAAACGCCTCCGCAACGCCGATATGCCTCAATCCTAACCTCCCTATCCGATCGGCCCGGGGCCCATAACAAGAGGATTCGTCGCGGACGAGGTCCTGCTTCTGGCAAAGGAGGCAAGTCCGGTCGCGGGTCTGATGGGCAGAAACAGCATAGCAAAGTGCCTGAAGGGTTCAACGGTGGTCAAACACCCGAACACATTGTGCACGGAAAATATGGATTCAAGAACTTGTCTGTCTGCCCTGCCCCCATCCACAATGGTGAAGTTGAATTGACGTGTGGCCTACAGATTTGCCAATGAAATGTCCCCAATCAATTTGAACAAGATTCAATCCTGGATCGACCAAGGACGCCTGGACCCTTCCCAACCCATCACACTGAAAGAACTCTGCTCCTCCGGCGTGCTCGGTCGCATCAAGGATGGCGTGAAACTTCTCGGCAACGGGGCTTCAGAGCTCAAAACACCCATCCACATTGTTGTCTCGAGGGCGTCCCAATCTGCCATTGCTGCAGTGGAAGCCGTGGGTGGAACGGTGACAACACGCTTCTACACCGAGCAATCGATACGCCGCATAAAGAGCAGCCAAACTCATCCTTTCCTTTCTCTCCGGTGGGATCCTTCAGCGCTGAACAACCCTCACCTGGCTGTAGAAGGGTCCGAGGTTGCCGAGAATCGTGCCAGGGGCATGGGCTTCCAGTACAGACTACCAGATCCAAGCTCACGGAAAGACTTGGAATATTATAGGGACGCGAAACATCGCGGCTATTTGAGCCATATGGTGAAGGAAGGTGAGAGCGCCAGCCTGTATTTCAAGCCGCCAATCAGCGAAGAGGAGCTGAAGGCCCTGAAAAGAGAGAGCGCAAGGAGTGGCAGGGCTGCGAAACGGAAGGAAGGAGATAAGTTGTGGTAAGGGGAAGGCGGAACATATGTATTATATCTCGTACAACAATGTCCTTTCCGGCGGCATTTTTCCTCCTCGAGTTGGCAAAAAGATGCAGACAGAAACTAGGAGATGCAAATGTTATACGAGGAACGCATCTCCGACTCGGACGAATGTGGCTCTCATCAGGTCGAGTAGGTTTAAGAAACAGCACGCGAGCGATTACTAGCTCCTGGCAGGTTTTTGCTGGAAAAATAGACGCGTTATATCGTTTGATGAATCTCACATGAAGAGCCCGGGATGCCAGACGATCTTGTCCGACACATGCCGACATTAAGAGGCGCAAAAATGGGGATTTGCTCGGCGTAAAAACGATAAAACAACAACAGTGTAAATAACCATACAGGCAGGGCTCGGCCCCCAAAACAACGCGGCCATCTATAAGTTCAAACAGTTTGTGGTTTTTTTTGCTCATTCCGAGGGAACCCCAAAAACAATCCCTGCGAAGAATAGCGTGGATACCTCGCCAAAACCCAATCGTCCAGAGGCCTAGTAAGCCAAAAGTCAGGTGTCGAGGGCTTGTGACGACTCATTGCTGCTTCGCGGAAGCGCATATATGGCTCCTTAGGTTACGTGCCATTAAACGTTTCCAGTCTTGCCTCTACTCTCTCGACACGTCTCTGCCGAAGAATTTGGCTTTGGCCCAGTCAAAGAAGACTAGGATGCGGTTGCGCGCTGGCAAGTCAAAGATGTCAGCCAAACCCCCACAGATGCAGCAAGGATGGTTAGGGAAATGGTAATGGGATAATACTCACTGCTAAAGCACATGCTCAGGTAAGCGCTCTTCCAGAATAGGTACGTCATGGTACCTCCACTGGCAATATTTCCGCTGAACCAAGACACATCGGCAACTGCCTTCTCAGCACCAATGTACGCAAGCGATCCTTGATGCGAATAGCTGAATGGCCCGATCTGCTTGATGCGACGGAGCTGGCGCTGGCGCTCGTTGATCTCCTCCAGGATGACCTTGCGCTGCTCGGGGTTCGCAGTAGCCTGCTTGGAGGACAAGTCGCGCAGTTCAGCCTCGATAGCGTCTGTCTTAGCCATGGTGTTAAACAGACGAGCCAAGAAAGCCCCCTCTTGGGCAGCGACTTGAGCAGTGGGTGCATAGTTGGCCACGGCGCAGTCGCCAACTGCCCAGATGTTTTCGGTGCCATTGACAACAAGGTATTCGTTGACTTCGAGGCCACGGCGAGCTTTCGCCTGAGCTGGGATCTGGGACATGAGATCCTTGACCACGGGACGGAGAGCATTACCAGTAGCCCAGACGAGCAGTCCGTAGGGAATTTTCTCCAGCGCTTTCGAACCGTCGGGGTTCTGGACTTCGGCTTCAATGTATTTGTCGGTCACATTCTTGACCATGGTCTTTGTGCGAATCTGGATGTGCTCTTCCTTGAACGAAGATTCCGTGTACTCGATGAGTTGCTTGCTGAACATAGGAAGCACATTAGGCAGAGCTTCGACCAAAGTGACATGGAAATCGTCCTTAATTTGAGGAACCCATTTCTGCAAGTCTTCCATGAAGAAATCCTGCAGCTCACCAGCAAATTCGACACCAGTTGGACCACCACCGACGACCACCATGTGGAGAAGACGCTTGACTTCTTCGGGGCTTTGATCCTTGAAAGTAGCCGTTTCGACACAATCCATGATTTGTTTGCGGATCTTTTGAGCATCACCAACTTCCTTCAAAAAACAGGCATGTTCACGAACACCAGGGATTCCAAAGGTGGCATTTTCTGCTCCGACACCCACGACAAGCAGGTCGAAGGGAATCTCGGTCTCCATGGTATCACCCTTGATTTCCGAGTCATCCTTAGCATAGACGATCCTCTTCTCGTAGTCGATCTTTGTGCATTCAGCTTCGTAGTACTTGACCTTTGCCTTCTTGTGACGGAGGATGTTCCGGATGGGTTCCATAATGGATCGGTGCTCAATGGTGCCCGTGGTACACGAGGGTAGCAGAGGAGTGAAGAGGAAGTAGTTCCGGGGCGAGACGACGACGACATTGTAGTTCTCCGTGTCAAGGTTTTTAAGCAAGGAGACGGAACCCCAACCAGTACCTAGACCATGTCAGCATTCAGGTCCAGCTTCTGTGGAAGGAAGCTTGCGCACCGAGGATAACGAGTGTCTTTTTGCTTGGATCGGGATCAGCCTGCTCTTTTGGATTGCGACCCTCATAGACCTGATAAGCAGTGTATCCCAGGGCGGCAAGCACGGAAAGATAGGTCAAGCGCCAGGTCCAGAGGAAGAATCGGAAGCGCCTCTTGGGTTTGGGTTCTGGAGACAGCTGGACTTGGGGAGCGTCGGCGTAGTTACGACGGAAGGTTTGCTGAATCAGTGGCCTGGATACCAGGGAGGACGATCTGGAGGCGACTGGAAGCGAGAGAGTTGAACGGCGACATGTTGAGAAAGCTCGCATTGACCAAGGCCTGAGTGACGCCATTGGAGAGCTGGGCATCATGCGCAGGGGAAGTTTGCTCGCCATGGCGGTCGCAGCGGTCGAGACGGGTTGGAGGAGAAGGGCTAAGGAAAGATCATGAAGCCCATGAGGAGATCAGACGAAGACAAGGAGAGAAAAGAGAGAAGAGGATCAAGGGAGAATTTGAAGAATGGGTAAACGCTGAGGGTGGATGTTGAGCGAAAGTTGCAGAGGAACCAGCTTCGAGAGGCCAGAGATTAATATTTTTGGAGAAAAGGGAAAAAAGTTCAGAGGACGTCAGGGTCTGAGGCGATTGGAGTCATACAGGTAGATAGCTACTTTTTGAACTAGGATCGTATTACAAAGGAGCTCCATGGTAGCCTTTTGGGGTTGGAGTGGGTCGTAGGACATTCTTGTTTTACTCATACTCGTGTACCTCGTACTTTGAGGAGGGAAGCTTTGGAGCTGAAGATGATGATAAGCGGCTAGATTGTCCTTCCTCAGGCAAGGTAATACCTACTAGGAAGTACCTGGTGCACGGGCCTGCGGTACAGACCAGGACTAGAACAAGTAAGACCCCCTAAGAGGGCAGAATGGCATTCTCCACTAACGTTTTCTGGCAATTTAGGGCTACTACCGAGTTGACCTGGAAGAGTACCCGGTACTAAGTCTGTAATGACACTTTGGCTCCCGACGATTGGCAACACTGGGTATCGTACCTAGTCCAGAAACTGTTCCGCAGATCCGTGACTGGACCACACAATCACTCGCCTTGTTCATCCTTTCTCCCTCGCCCTCGTTGACGGGGACAAGGTACCAAGTACTCGGTACATGCATACTGATGATGGGATACCTTTTCCAACTAATTACTTCCAAGTCCACGCCCCCACGTTATCCCATATTCGATCACTTCGGTGACTTCTTCGGCCTCCGCTCCGCTCTACCTCCTGCATCCTTGCTCCCATCCGGCCCCATGGATCATACTGACCATGAGGCAGTCTTCCAGTTGAGAACGCCCTTACATAATACGGAGTCTCCGTTGCCGCCCGTTAATAAGTCAACCTGTCTCTGCCCGTCTATCCATGCGCCAAACTCGGCTGAATGGGATCAGAGGCGATAGCCCAGAAAGAGGTGGATACGAGACACTCCTACCTAGCACACTTCACGCTCGACCAGATTCTCCCGTACCAAAAGGACCAATCCCTTGTCCACGCCTCCATTAGCCCGGACACCTCTAGTACCCGTTTTTGATTATTCCCATCCAGCCTTGTCTCAACCTCGACCGTCCCACTTACTGGTTCACGGTGGTATTAACGAAGGGAAAAGAATACTCAAGAACGTCCCTTGGATCAAAAACAAAATTTATCATTCAAGCACAGAGCTTCTCAGAGTCTTCCCACCAGACACCGGTCAAGCACTCAGTCAAGCCCTTCTCTGATCTGAGAACAGAGTTTAAGAACAAAATCTCACTATGCTTGCTGTGCCTCATCTGCCGTTTTCGAAAACTCCGCTGCTGAATCTCTCCACTGTTGGTCTGCTGGTCGCGCCCTTTCTCCGGTAACATGGAAATGCATCCTGAAAGTGATTCAATCGTCTCAGATTGTTACTCGTCTCCGATCAAGGCTTGGTCTATCCAAGACCGACCACAGATCAGGATGGGGTGGACCAGTCAAGGTTTGATATCCGTCTCAATAACACGGGGTTATTTGGTGCAGACTCTCCATCTCGGCAGCGGTGAGTGGTGCATCATCGCCTTCTGTGCGTGCGTTGGCCCCCCATCTCGTGCCAGACAAGTCATCTTCTCCTTCTGTAGTTTTACCCCAGACAGCATCCAACATCAACTCAACCTTCACTGGGCTTCTCCTGCTCCGCTTTCTTCTCCGACAAGATCTTCTCAGCTTCAGTCTGTCCCTCCGGCGTGTACTCTGGCCCGGTCTCCTGGTCTTCTTCATCCTGTTCCTGGATCACGCTCTGCCTCAATTCTTCCGAGTCCTGGTCGGAAACTTGCCCTTCTTGGGCCAGAGAGTGCCGACGTGCTTCTCCCACGAGCATTTCCACCTCACTGATCGCAAGTTTGTCCTTGGTTGTTTCCGTCTCTACTCCAATGTCCATCTTGGTGTTCTGCTGAAGCTTTTGCGGATCGAAGCGCACCACCATGACAGACAGGTTGTCGGTCGAGAAACGGGCTAACGCATGGTCCACCAACATTTTGGACGCAGCTTGAGGGTCGTGGACGTTGCGAACCAAGTCTACGGCTTCCTGGTCTGAGCAGACATCCCATAACTATTGCGCATCAGTATGACATGCCACACGTAGGCAATTGGTTTGTATCATGAACTTACTCCATCACAGGCCAAGATCAAAAACTCGTCTTGGTCAGGTTGAATCACGGTCTCGGTCGTATAAGGATGTCCGGTTACCAAGTCTTTTAGATATGAGTCGCCCAATGCTCGCGTCACCGCTAGCACTCCATTCACCCGGTTGTTCAATATCAACCCTCCGGCTTTCGATATCCTTCGTCCCTCGTTTTCATCCATCCCCTTGTGATCGTACGACAAACGGAGTGCCTTCCCATTGCGGCACAAGACGATCCGGGCGTCACCAACATTAGCGGTGTACAGCACCCTCTGTCGCGTAGCCTTTTGTTTCGCTTCCTGAATCGCTGCCGCCGCCGCTTCAGCCGTTGAATTCGACCGAGGTGTCGAGTCTTTTCCGTCTTTCGATGACTCGTTGTTTTTCTCATTCTTCTCTGCTTCTTTGGCTGCGGCCGCGGCCAAGGATGCGATAGCCTGAGACCCCGTCGCAGAGTGGTTGGTGGGAACGCGGTCTTCCCAGCGTAGCACTGCCGTGATCGCAGTACACCCACTGTTTTTGAGTGGCAACCTTTCCAATTGATTGTCGGCGGTGGTATATGTCTGATCAAGCAATTCTGGGACGGGTGTGTTGGGGTACTTGCGCATCAATTCTTCCAGGATGACATGCAGTTTCTTCCCACACCACTCGGCAGCAAAGGTGCCCGCATGCCCGTCAAAAATGGCAAAGTAGCCATTGTCGGTCTCCACCACATGCTGGGCAGGATTGGACGCGATGGTGCTGAGGCTGTTCCGATCTTCTCGGGAACTTTTCTTGGATAATGAGCTGTCGGAAGAGAGAACCGGCGCCGGCGTACCGAGAAAGTTGTAAAGATATGAATGAGTGTCTTCCATGGTACGACGACATTTCTTGTTCTTGTCTTCGGTCACACCAACTAAGAAGGATGAATTCGGTGTAGGCTGCGACTCGCCGGCCGAGTTATTCAGCGAGCCTTGAGGCACGCTGAGCGCGGCATCGGTCTTGGATAGTCTCTGCATTGGTGTTTGCGGTCCGTCCTTGTCGCCGTGTATTAATGAATTTTTGGCCTGGGTAAAGATCTCCTTAGCTTTGGCGCTGCTACTCCTCCGCTTCTTGGAGTCGGCAGTAGGCGAAGCAACGGCGGCTTCGTCTGCGGGCTTTCGAGTCTCGGACTTGGGGCTCAAGTCGTTAGTCTTAACCGTAATGCTGCCACCGGGGGAAGTAGGGCCATTGTGGTTGCTATCAGTACTTATTCGAGAGGGTGTGCTCTCCGAATCTGTATCCTTCTCCTTCTTGCCTCCAAAGACGCGATTGAGAAAGCCTCCCGAGGAGGTTCTCCTATCGGTTGTGCCCGCCAGCTTGAAAGAGACAGAAATGCGCAAAGAGCCTCGGACCGATTACCAGGAGCGTCTCGCGCGAATATGCCTGAGAAACAAGAGGGAGGAGCTTGACGCAGGATGGGAGAGATAGCGGTCGGACCGGGTTCTAGTCTCTGCCTGGGAGGAAGCAATACCAGGTAGCTTGAGGTTGAACAAAGAGCGCGAAGTAGAGGCAAGTGGTGAGGATAGCGAAGGTGGCGATTCGACGAGTACAAAGGATTAGGTGCCGGTCTTGGTAGTGGTACCTCGGAGGTTATGGATGAGGCGTATCTCTGTGCAAGCACGAGAAGAATAAGTCGACTCGAGGCAATGTAAGGCTGATGAACCAGCGTCGCAAGCTGATCACGCTGATTGCAGAAACAGGAGCGGAATAATATGAGGTCAATAGGAATAGCACTCGCTTGAGGGAGAAGGTAAGGGAGTGAGGGAGCGAGGCAACTAAGTAGTGCAGTAACCTACTGTTTGGAAAGGATGAGGATGAGAAGATGAAGGTAGCAGGGCGTAGGGTGCGATTCGGTTCGAGAATCTAATGTAGTAGGTATGGAATGATGAAATTGGGTGCCTGCGATGGGTAGTGTTGGATGAATGAGGGGTGTGGCTTGATTTGCGGGTGTGTCTTCGTCCTTGTGTGCTGTTCTTTCCACCTCTCCTTTGCTCTTCTCAATCGGATCGAATGTTGTGCGCGCAGGTTTGTGGGGGAGGGGAAGACCGAAGGTGGGCGAGAACCAGAGAGGCACCCAGAGGTATGCTGGGGGTGCCGCTTGGTGCCGCACCAGGATGAACCACCACATCATCAGACGTCAATTTTTGCCCCTGGGGGCGCAGCCACACACTGGTGGTGATGCTGTCGTGCTAGTGATCTAATGAGTTAGGCAGTCCAGTCAGGAACTGCAGCAAGAGACTCTACAAGCACTTCATAACTACGAGATAATTACTCGCTACTTGTACTCACTTATGTATCTTCCCAAGCCCCTGCAAGTTTATTCTCTAATGATGTGTTTATCTACATTATTAACCTTGAGATGTACCCACAAACGCACAACCGGAGACCAAAGTATGTAAGGTGCAGGCATCCCTTTCCCTACCTATTTTTCACTCTTCTCGCCGCGCACACCTTCACCCCGATCGCCGTTAGGGACTGAGACTTCTTCCTGTTTCCACCATTGGCGAGTCCAGACAGTCAATCTCATCTCATTAGGCGCCCGCCCCGCTGGCTACCTGTCAAGCTTAGCCCTTGCAGCTGTCCGGCCTATTGAGTGGGTGAGTGGTTAGTGGTAACAATAATTCGGCCGAGTTGCTCGGCAGCCGCGGTTCAACCGATGCATAATACGCGGAGTCAAGACTCAAAAAGGTGGCACAGTGGAGAGGTGAGAACAATCGCCATTGTCCCTCCCCAACCTGTGTGGCGAGAATCAACGCGCTTCGCATGGCTTACAAACTTTCGAACAGGCTGCGGGCCCTTTGCCTAAACGCCATTGAATGCGTTAATTCCGTTGCCGAACAGCGAGCCTGCGTGTACGAGTACACCTTGCCCGTGGAGGATGCTTAGAGGTGTGGGCCTTGTGCTTGGTTGTACAATGAGGAATCGCAGTAGACGGATCTCGCAGAAACTGGTCATATTATCCACCCAACCCTCGACCTGCTGTGCAACAATGAACCACCCTATTTCACAAAGATCGCTTTCTTTACCAGTATGTTTACTCATGGCGATACACGGTGTCAAAAAGAGCTGCTAAGCTTGATCAAGCCAGCCGCTGGGAGGTGGGGTAAATGGTGACGCTGGCAACCCCTAAGCAACGGCCGAGGAGCCAATCGCACAGATGACCACCATCGATCTCATCTATCAAGCGACAAGGCTGCCAAGCTGTCCGTCGAGGTGACCAAAGATCACGATAAAGAGGCCCTATCTCAGGGCAACGCCGTGAAGTAGAGATAGCCCGTCTATAACACAATCTTTCCGAAGCGCTCTGTGCATGAGGGAAGTGACAGAAAGAGCATATTTCACGTTGAGGATCACCTCAAGAGCCGTATACTTCTTGTCTGTGAGATTATGGGACAGCAACATCCGGGCTCCTAGAGCGCCTCTCTTCTGCGACAGGAAGCCCAAAACCTTCCACAAGAATTCGGGACATAACCTTCAGTACAGCTGGGCCATTTGTCTCGTTGTTCAATAGATTTCCCTATTTCGATCCACGATTATTTTTCAATGGCGGCTGACCAAAGAGTCGGGCTTCAACGCTAACGCCTGTAACGGATACGTGCGTCGCCAAGGATGTGCAGATTCGGTGCGACACATTACTTAAGGAACTTAGGAGTTGTTGAGCAAGGACGTATCGGTAGCGGAGGTAGTTCTGGCGTAAAGGGAAAGGAAGGCATCTGCAAGCCCAAGGATGTGGTGAAGGTGTAAATCAACACTACCGCCAGAAACTGCAGCCCGGGTCGTGAAGCTGGCCACAAAAGGAAAAGGGATTGGACATATATCCACAAATTTGTCCAGATGTTGTTGTTCAGTCTTCCATTGCATGAGATATCCGGAATCAATGACCCCAGGCTCGAGTCATCGATAGTGATCTCCCTATGCTACTTCTTCATCGCTTTCTCCGGACTGTTTGGTCGTTAGCCTCATAGACAAGTCTCATAGGACGTCGCATCCCGGAACAGCGCACAATACTTGGAAAGAACTTACTTCTTCTCCAGCAGCCGGCACCACTTCCTCCACTCACTCGCTGCTTTCTTGAATACGGTCCTCAAGTCTTCCTTGACCTCCTGGATTTCCCAATGTTCATCCTCCCAATTTTTCTCCTCAATATCACGACTGGGAGTCCATCCTATTGCCTCCAACACTTCACTTTCCGTGGGAGAATGCTCATAGTGCGGGAAAAGCTTGGAATCAGCCTTGTGGCATTCCGCATCGAGATATCTGCGAAGGACGTCCAGACGCTTGGAGTGTGTAAATGTGAGTTTCAGCTTGTGAGATTCGTCTTCATGGTTGGGCGACGATTGAGTGGAGCTAGCCAGCCTCTTCGTCACGGATCTTGCAGTCTTTGCGCCACGGAAGCTCGCGTATGCCCAAACAGTGTCGATCTCACCCAGTCCGCCGAACGGCCAGATGAATGTAGCGAGGATATCGATACCGTAAGCCACCGGCATGAGGCCTGTCGCAATAATAGTATCTCTCTGCGCCTTGGATTTGGTACGCAGCATTGTGTTCACGAACTCCTCACGCATCTGTTGGTCAGTGAGGTTGAGGGTGGGTGGGTAAATGAGGACCATTTCCTCAACCGTTACCGTCTTGTGTGTTTCGGAGTCTTGGTGGTCTCTCTCGTCATCGGAATGTGATTTCTGTGGACCGGGAGACACACGACCCAAGAAATCTAAGTTTGAGGTTGTGGTTTTGTGTATAGCCCAATCGATCCCGCGCGTCGCTTTAGATTTGGCACCTTTCCAGCTGGCAGTTTTGGCCGTGCTGCTCTTTGCGGAACGGACTTCTTCTTGCCATTTCCGCTGGACTTTGTGCAGTTTGCCTTCCTTCACTCCCTCGGCCGGTTTTTGCAATGGAGGTGGGGGCGGCGTGTAGATCACAAAACGAGCTGGAATACTTTCTGGATCAACATTGGGAAGCACCGGACGTGGAAAAGGGACCAGGTATCCTATGAGTTTCTGAGGATCGCGGATATAATGGACCAGGCTGGAAGGGTCATCGTCAGCGGCGAATATTTGTTTGTAGCGCTGGGGCGGCGGTTGGAATTGGTGTTGCTGACTGGGTGCGTACGACGCCGGGTTGTACACAGGCGGCGGTGGATAAGATGTCGTTTGGGCTTCAAGATCTAAACTTCCTTGGGCATTGTGCCTCTGTGGGAGGGGGGGTCCCGGAGTGTCGTATCCTGGTGCCGTGGTTTCATGCGGTCGCGGCGGCTGAGGGGGAGGCGGTGGATAGCTTGGATGCTGTTCTTGTGGCTGGTATACATAAGCTGGATGATTCATGTCCACAGGTTGTTGTTCGGAACAATACTGATTGGGACGTTGCGAAGGGTCTGTCGTTGCGGTTTGATGCCGGACTTGGGGGGTTCTGCTGATTTCTCCGATTGAAGGCGTAAAGTACAGTCCGATAGACAGAGAGTAGTGGCCCTCGGGGAATTTAGGTGGTTACTCGAGAGCGATGAGGCGGTTGTCAGATCAGATATAGGTAAAGTTATCGATAGGGATCAAGGTTTTATAATACCTAGTGATGGTTACCTTCATGTCAATAGTGAGTCGCTCCTCATTGCTATTTCTCGTCACTATGCCACTTACCTGGTATTTTCGACATCGGTTCAGAGGGTAATCATCGTGGTGAACCTCTAACAAAATGACGTCAACTTCGAGGCTGCGGCCGTTGAGATCCACTGAGATTGTCACGCTTGTCTACCTAAATTTCTCAAGCTTTTTTAGGCGGCACTAGCGTCTCCCATCCCGCTGTTTCCGACAGGGCGAGACAAGGCAACCACAATTCATGTCTTCGTCATGGTTCAACATCAGCCTCTATCCGCCACGGTAGCCGTCGTAGTCCTAGATTAGGCAGACAACAAACCCCAACCGGCAAGTATTCGAAGTGAACAAAAGCTTCATATTATCGCTAATTTTACTGCACGGAGGTTGGAAGCTGGACTTCTACAAGCAGACAGTAGTCAAGACGAGACCAAGAGGAGAATGTCCAGCATCGCTCATATACATGCCCATGATAGTCGTAATGCTCCATCGGCGCCTCCATTTTCCATAATATATCATTTTCACAGCGGAATCACAGGCCGAGCACACGCGGTTACAAAACATAACCACCGACTGCCCCAGGGGGACCTCCCTCGAGATCGATCCCTGCCACTCGCCTCCTCGCCTCCTCGCTTTCCCGCACAAGATTCCCAAAGTATTTCCGCGCGACCTCACTCTCTTTCTTCGTCTTTGTCACATCTTCTTTTCTTTGTCTTAGTTCTTCTACATTCTGGGCGAGATCTGCTGTTAGCTGTTGAGCTGGAAAGCGAAGCACGCGACGGACTTCGGAGGCTATCCGGTGGGCATTGCTGTGCGTGTAATCCATTTCGGCGAGAGTGGCTGAGAGTTTCTGTGCAAGACGTGGTGGCAAGCTTTGCGGGATTGTGGAGAGAATGTAGGCCACCGCCAAAATTACTGCAAGAACACCTTGTTAGGTGAAATCGGTTATTTGCGAAGAGACAGGAGAACTCACCAGCAGCAACAGCGCCTGGTACAATCAATCTCCTCAGATTCCGACTTCCAAGGATTTTAGCCGCGCCGAATGCACCATCAATCCAACCAACACCACCAACTGCTCTGGTGCCTAGTGTGCCAGCAACGGTAAGAGCCAGCCCGGTACCAAGGGTCTTCTCCTGTCGCTCCCATAGTCCAGCAACGTCGAAAAAGTCCCAGATATCCACGTCCGTGTCTACAGACCGTACCAGCGCATCCTTGCGGCGCTGGAACATTTTGTCTGCTGCGAAGTTGAGGTTCTCGTAACTATTACCAACATGTAACAAGCCAAGGGACTTGATGGTGTTGACGCCCTGCACAGTCCTCGTCCGACCGTAATTCTCGCAACTGGTAACCGCGGCAGAAATTTGATCAAGCATGGCAATGCGCAAGTCTTCCGCATATTGGAATGCAGAGAATATCCCAGGGTATTCGACGCCGTGATTGTGGTTGCCGATATTGGCAATGGTGTTGGTCAAAGTCGATCGAGTATGGTTGTACACCTCAGTGGACGTAGAGTCAATATCTTTTTCGACTTGTTCTGAAACTGTGACGCGGTGTTTCTGCTTCTCTTCAAATTCCGGCTCTATCTCCGAAAGTTCTTTGGATACCCGGTCCAGCTCTGATTGTGCAACGTCGCGGTTCACTGTAGCAAGGACATTCATGTCACCTAAGCAGTTCATCAGATAGGTCTTTGCGGGAGCGAGTTTCGAGCGTGCTCTCTTCTCCAACACAAACCGCCGGAGCGCACTCTCTAAGACCTCGAAATCTCGGATTTTTTCCTTATCCTTTCCTTTGCCTTTGTCTGAACCATCGTCGTCATCGTTTCCATCGGGAGGATCTGACCCACCGCCCCCGCCACTGCCACCACTGGCAGCTCCATCGTTGAGTAGTGAAGGTATCATGGGAATGGCGTTGCTAGACACAAAATGGACCAGTTCCTCGGCCTCCTTGAATGTCTGCGGACTCAATTTGGCCAACTGGTCCAGGATCATCTTTTGACATCGTTCTTTATCGCGGATGTTGTCAAAGCCATTGACCACCATAAAGATGTACGCTTTCTCATGCGCGGCTTGCCAAATGAACTCCTTGGCAGACAAGGTAAAGTGGTTTGCTGCTGAGACCACGAAGACAACCACGTCAATTTCCTCTTGTCGGGCGAAGACAGCCGTGGTCTTGACCGAGTCCGAGTTTAAGCCAGGAGCATCAATCAGCGCGATGTCGACGACGCCGTTATTCAGCAACGACTGGTCAATCGTCCTGATATCCTTGACATAGACCTTGCACTGCATATATCGGTCGTTGTCAATAACTATCTTCTCCAGCTCTTGTAAGGAATAAGAGTCGTAGGTACTTTCATCATTTCGGTCATATACCGTATCTTTGTGAACGGCATGGACTTCTTCGATGCCGCCGTTCTCTTTTGCGTCCAGTACTTCACAGAAAATACTGGTACAGGGTTGCTGATCCTCAGGCAGAATCTTGCGGCGCAACAGGGCGTTACAGAACGTTGACTTTCCTGCATTTAGATCACCAGTGACCAGGACTTTGCTCGAGGTATCCTCTATCCGGTCCCGAAGCGCCAGCAGGTGCCGGACGCTCTGGCTTATTTTCCCATCCAGCAGTGACGCGATCGACTTCTTCTCCAGAGAATGAACGAGTTCCGTTTGAGACAGTGCGCCAACTTTGAGATCGAGCTTCAGGATAGAAAACTCCTGTGCGATTTGTGGCGTGATGAGTCGTGGTTCGGATGTCTGTCTGTGCTGTGCCTGTGAGCTTGACTCTCCTGTCGCATCTTCTCCAAGTGAAGTTCCAGCTCTTCTTAACACCCCTGGCCGATCTTGCGCCGCCTTTTTAAGAAACATCTGGCGTGACAGATCCGCCGCTTGCCTTGTCGACTGGACTTCTCGCAGGATCGGTCTGACAGATTGACTTTCTTTATCATCTTTGTGAACAGAGGGGTAGTGTGCAGGCCATTGGGCATTCATCTCCTGTAATTGTTTCAACAGTTCGACGGTTTGCGAGATCGCCTTTGCGAGAGCGACGCGATTTTGATTATAATAGAGTTGATGTACATGGCTGGCAAGAGATCGTTTCTCTGTTTCTGACATTCTTGCAGGTTGTCCGTTGATTTGGGGAGTATGGGCAGGCGTTGGTCTGTCTCTGAGAAATTCGTCCTCCCATGCGCGCATCTCGCCACCGGCCTGTTGGACGTCATTTGCCATACTGCCGTAGCCGGAATCTCGTTCGAGTTGTTCCATAAGTGCTGTAGCATGAGATGGCTGTGATCCAGTGCCTACAGTTATGTATTCGGGTCGGTACCCTGCGGTGTGGACGGGAGTGGGCGATGCCATTTCGTGTCGGTCTGTGGTCGAGGAATTGAAATCAGGATCTCGGGATGCGCGCGATGGCCCTTCGTCGGGCTCGTCAGTGTGGCTCATTTCGAAAGTAGTCTTCAGTATTCCCTAGTCAATCGTCGCAGGGTTACTCAGACCTAAGGGCACATATCGGTCCATGATAATGCCTATGGTTGAATCTGCGAAGAATAATCCAAGGATATTTCCTAAAAAGAAAGCAAAGGTCGCAGTTTGGAGTGACCGGAGGAACGGGGCCGATGTTCTTCCGACAGCGTCAGTGGCTGCTGGCATCTTTGCTCTGGTCCACACATCTACTAACCGCTACCTCGACATTATAGCTGCGACAAATACCGTGATACTGGTTCTGGGGTTATGGTCTGGAAGTATATTCACTGAAAGCGATCTTTGCTTTTCTTTCTGACCACTCTTCCCACATTTCATCATGAATGTGAGTCTCTGCTGTCTCTCCGCTACCACCGCCTCTACCCCGCTAACAATCAGACATCAGATCATAGAATGGGCCTTTGGCAAACGCATGACCCCCGCCGAGAGGCTACGTAAACACCAACGCGCTCTGGAGAAGACCCAACGCGAACTGGACCGTGAGCGTGTGAAGCTTGAGAATCAAGAGAAGAAGCTTGTGGCCGACATCAAGAAGAGTGCAAAGAATGGACAGATTGGAGCCTGCAAGATTCAAGCGAAGGACCTGGTCAGGACCAGGAGGTATATTCAAAAGTTCTATCAGATGCGGACACAATTGCAGGCTATTAGCTTGAGAATACAGGTAGTATCCCTTAAAGTTCTATTTCACTGTGACTGTCTGCTGACCAAGGCTTTGCGTGTGACAGACCGTCCGGAGCAATGAACAAATGATGCAGTCCATGAAAGGAGCAACCATGCTACTAGGGAGCATGAATCGCCAAATGAACCTGCCTGCTTTACAGCGAATCGCTATGGAATTTGAGCGCGAGAATGATATCATGGATCAGCGCCAGGAGATGATGGACGATGCCATTGACGATGTCACCGGACTAGAAGACGAAGAGGAAGGAGAAGAAGTAGTGAATCAGGTGCTGGACGAAATTGGTGTCGATTTGAACAATGCCGTAAGAGCGATTCCATACTTCGAAATGCTCGACGCTAATCCTATCGTGCAGCTTGGTGAAACACCAACCGGCATACAGAAGGCGGCAGTACCAGAAAGCCGCGTTGCTCAGGCAATAGGTGGAGGAGGTGAGGATGATGACTTGCAAGCTCGTTTGGATAGTCTGCGAAAGTAGAACTAAGAGCAGGAATATCTGGAAGGCGGATCTGCATGTTGAGCAACGGCGCTGGGAGTCAGAGTAGATGGTATTCGTCTTGATCTTATTTCGTATAGCGAAGAGC